TGTGTGTGTGTGTGTGTGTGTGTGTGTGTGTGTGTGTGTGTGTGTGTCTGCAGGTCATGAGGGGTGTGTGGAGGTGCTGCTGGAGCAGAAGGGTTGTCGCTGTATTGATGGGAACCCGTTCACTCCTCTGCACTGTGCTGTGTACGTCACACATGGGTTAAATAATAGTTATGATTACAGCTCAGAAAGTTCAAATGATAAAGAGCTGCTTAATTCAATTTACATCAAGCTTTTTTTTTTTTTATTTCAAGAAATATTGAAATGTTGCTCTAAGCAGATTAAATATCCTCTGGATTTAGAATCTGCAGCAGCAGCTAGAGCACATTGAACGTTCCTTAACTTCTCACATCCTGACTATCAGCCGCTGATCCCGTTTGTGGTTAAACTCACAGGGTGAACGATCACGAGCCTTGTGCGTCGCTGCTGCTGGAGGCCATGGGGTCGGACATCGCTGGCTGCAAAGACGCTAAGGACAGGTAAGGCGTGTGTGCGGTGGTGCAATGTAACTAAGTGCATTTACTCAAGTACTGTACTTAAACAGGAGTTAACATGTAACGTACACATTAATGCAGCAGTAAAATGAATCCAGAAACATCAGATATAATAGTAAAACACCGAAAGGGAACCTTTTACTGCACTATGAGTACTTTTATTCTTCATTCTTACAGTATATTTTGCTGATAATACTCCTTATTAAGTCAGGGTTTGAATGCAGGATTTTCACAGCGTGGTATTAGTACTTTTACTTCAGTAAATGATCTTCTCCTCTACTTGACTCCTGCAGGACTCCTCTTCACGCCGCAGCGTTCTCGGGTCACGTTGACTGCGTCCAGCTGCTCCTGTCCCACGATGCACCTGTGGACTCTGCGGACCAATCGGGTCGCAATGCACTGATGATGGCGGCTGAGAAGGGCAGAGCCGGAGCTCTCGGTACAGAGATGTTTTACTTTGCTCGTGCCTTCAACACTGCGGTGTCCTATGTTGTTGATTTCTATTTTTAATTTTTGGCTCTGATTGTGTCTCAGAGGTGCTGTTGACCAGCACCAGCTCCAACCTCAGTCTGACGGACAAAGACGGCAACACCTCCCTGCATCTAGCTTGCAGTAACGTAAGTGGCCACAAGGGGCTCCACCCTCGATCTTAGTTATTGTTTCTCTTGATATGAGTGTCTCCCATGTCTCCAAATCCCCCTGCACTCATGCATTATCACCAATCACACAGCTAATGTGAGTTAGTGAAGTTGTTCAACATCGGAACAAGACAATTTAGTAACACAACACACGTCATTTCTCTCACATACGTCAATTAAAATATCAGAAAGTATGAATGAATGTTTAGTCTCCGTTTAATCTGACGTCCTCTCTTTAGGGAAAGGAAGACTGTGTGATGTTGATCCTGGAGAAGCTGTCTGACACGGCGCTTATAAATGCCACAAATGCAGCGCTGCAAACGTGAGTATCTGAAACCTCTGTCACTGACAAAAATAAGCACTTTTTCACTCTTTATGCAGTTAACTCTCCGCACAAAATGAGGGATTTGAGGCACAAAAGAAATGTTCCTATTTTCTGTTAATAATTATAAAATCTTCTGTTAGTCCTCTCCACCTGGCGGCTCGTAGCGGTCTGAAGAAGGCGGTCCAGGAGCTACTGTCCCGAGGAGCCAACGTTCAGACGGTGGATGAGAACGGTAGGACGTGAATCTGGTCTGGAACCTGATTTCCCCCCCCCAGGCACTTTATAGGCCCTAGCTGCATGCAGTGTTCATTGGTCAGCATGGATGTTTTCCTGCGTCTCCAGCATGAACTTAACTAATGAATGATTTTAATATGATTTTTCCATGTGCGCTGCAAATGAATCTGTCTTTAAACGGGGGTTCCCACTGATCGTGGAGTTTGTGACACTAACTTGGTGAGAGACACTAACTTTAATATGTAAAATAGTACAAGCAGTGGCTTGAAGGGTTTAAAGTTTTCTCAGTGGACGTGTGAAGTCTTTAAAAAATCTGACTAACTTATAAAAGGCATGAAGACGTTCTGGAGTTTTACTTCCTGGATGACAGTGGGAACCCTGATTTAAACTATTCAATGCTTCCTTGCTTTTTATTGGATGTATGATGTGGTGTTTAGTAATACACGTCAGCTTTGTTTGTCCCTGTGTGCTCTGTGTACCGAGGGGGGGATTGACTGTGTACCCTCCCTCTTGACTGTGTACCCTCCCTCTTGACTGTGTACCCTCCTTCTTGTCTGTGTACCCTCCCTGTTGTCTGTGTACCCTCCTTCTTGTCTGTGTACCCTCCCTCTTGACTGTGTACCCTCCCTCTTGATTGATTGTGTACCCTCCTTCTTGTCTGTGTACCCTCCTTCTTGTCTGTGTACCCTCCCTCTTGACTGTGTACCCTCCCTCTTGATTGACTGTGTACCCTCCCTCTTGACTGTGTACCCTCCCTCTTGATTGACTGTGTACCCTCCCTCTTGTCTGTGTACCCTCCCTCTTGACTGTGTAACCTCCCTCTTGACTGTGTACCTTCCCTCATGTCTGTGTACCTTCCCTCTTGTCTGTGTACCCTCCCTCTTGACTGTGTACCCTCCCTCTTGACTGTGTACCCTCCCTCTTGTCTGTGTACCCTCCCTCTTGTCTGTGTACCCTCCCTCTTGTCTGTGTACCCTCCCTCATGTCTGTGTACCTTCCCTCTTGACTGTGTACCCTCCTTCATTTCTGTGTACTTTGTCAGCTGGCTGAACACTAATGGAATGCTGCTCCGTCCCTCCTCTGTCTTCTGCTCCCGTTTCTGCTTTGCCTTCCTTGCTTCCTCCCCGTCTATGTCTCGCTCTCCTCTCCTCCTTTCTCCCTTTTCTTTCTGCCCCCACCCCCACCTACCTCTCCCTCCCCTTCCTCTCTTTTTTTCTCTCTGTCTCTCTCTCTCAGGTCTGACGCCTGCTCTGGCTTGCGCTCCTAGCAGAGAGGTGGCTGACTGTCTGGCTCTCATTCTGGCTACCATGATGCCTTTCTGCTCCCCTTGCAGCTCCGGGGCTCCCTCACCAGGCTCCCTGCTGAGGCAGCTGCCCCACCAGGGGGGTAAAGTCCCGGGCACCGGCCCTCGGGGGCCACGCAGCCCCAGGAACCCCTCCGGACCCTCGAGCGAGGGAACCACCGAGAACGACTCGGAGGACTCTGAAACCTTCTGACCCCTCCGAACCGACTCCCTACCCTCCTACCTGGAGCTGTGCACCTGCACATGTTACCTTTCCTCCCCTGCAGGACCGATGCAGTGTTTTAGACTGTAAAGTGCACTCTTGAGGGAGACGGGTAGAGACTTGGTTGTGACACAGCTCAGATGTTTTGCAGTGTCTGTATCTTGTACAGAATCGCCCTCCAGTGTGACACCAGGCTGGAAGCCCTACAGCGCTTTTTCTTAGTGCCCACATTTCCAAAAACAATGAGCGGAGCAGCCGCACTGTCCCGGACTGACTACTGCAGCTGAGTGAGTTGCTCCACGAAGAAGAAGAAACCGATCTGGACCAGTTCTGGTACGGGTCTGCATGCTTGTGTTAACTCACACCACGGTTTGTTCTTTCTACTCATGGGTGCTTAAATCCAAACGGACCTCGGTACTTTAGTCTCTGCATGGCAAAGCAACTCGCCTCTGAGACTTGTCTTAAAAAAAGAAGCCATTTTTAACTTTGTACAAAATGTAATGGGCCATTAAGACAGCTAAGTGTCATTCTAACCTTTTTTTATGATCTTAGGCTTGTTGTTGTACCAAATATTTGACTTCCACACAGAAATAATGATGAACAGGTACATAGAGCTTGCTTATTTTAAAACAACTGAAGCACAAATTTGGATGTTGCTTTTAGGTTTTGATGAACTGTTGCTGGAATGTGAATAAGATGTTTAGTAGTTTTAAATATTCATCACAATAATTAGAATACGACACACTGGGTACATCTCGATTCCCTCAGTTGCATCCACATTTCTCTCATTTGCACGAGGAGAGATTCAGGAAAAGATGCGAGACATTTCTACTAGCAGCATTTTGTTGCTATTGTGTCTGTAAATTCATTCTTAAAGAAGTTGAGTTACAATCAGAATCTTATATTTCAAAATCTCCACTTTTCCTAAAACATTTAGGCTACTTAATCATTCCAACGAGCTATATCTCAAATTGAAATATAGTTGTAAAAGGCTAACAGTTAGCTCAAGGACAGAGGAGCGAGGAACCATCGAATAAGGGAATAGGGATGTACCCACTGATTGAACACAGGGTTTGTGCAGAAGGCTGAGATGTATGCATTGTATCCTGTGACCTTGAGCGGCCTCCTGCACCGTTTTGACGTCACGTCCCCCCCCCCCACTTCCCAATTCCCACCTGGGCAGCTCAGCCCAGACTCTCCACAAAGACCAAATTTCTCCAGCTCTGTTAGGTCTCCCCCACTTTGTTGTGGTATTTATTATCTATTACATAATGGTACAAATACTGCCAGCACTTAAAATGTAAAATAACACAGGGTCTTGACCACTCCCCCCCCCCGTTTGTCTCCCTACCAGCTATGTGCCATTGTCTCAAACGTGTCCAGTGCCTTGATGTTGATTCAACTTCTTTCATAACGAGTCTTTAGTTTGTGGATTCTAATACTCTTAAAGAATCAGCTCACCTAAATAACTGAACCCTGGTGGTGTTGAGCCGTGCGGGTTTGTCCGGGTTTTCAGATATTTGCCCTCAATTGACAAACAGTCGAGAGGCAGAAAGCAGGAAACGAAGGGAAAGAGAGAGGAGAGGATGACATGCAACACGGGTACATTGTGGGTTATAGAGTTACATGTCAGACTCCTTCAAAGCTAAAGTACATTTGCATAAAAGATTTCCCAGATTCAGTGATGAAAAGCTCCAGAAGAGCGACTAAATGAACCGCTATAAAGAACTCGAACGTGGACAGAAAGTCCTTTTAAGTGCAAGAAAATTTAAACATCCTCAAATGGGATAACTTCCCTCTGCTGAAGAAGTTCATGTGATGTGATTGAAAACTGTTTCGTCGCAGTTATTTTGAAAAATCGCCGGAGCTCACTGTGCACGCGTTACTTTTTAAAGAATTTGTTGTACTCCAGCTGAAAGTATTAGTCGATTTGTCAATCAACAGAAAATAAATCGGCAACTGTTTTTAAAAAATATATTAATATTGAAAGTAATATTTTTATGCAAAAATGGCAAAAATTCACAACTTCTCAAATGTGAATATTTGTTTTTCCTTCATTAAACTAAATATCTTTGGGTTTTGGACTGTTGGTCAAAAACCAATCCATTTTAATATGTTAACTAATATATTTTACATTTTGTTGCTATTTTCAAATAAATGTAATTTTCTAAAGCAGAGATTAAATAACATGTTCATCAATAATGAAAATGATTATGAATTGCAGGCCTATGTGTTTGTAGTGTCGCCAGTGCAAAGTGTTCTCAGGTCTGTGGAGCATTCAGGACATCGTTGTGTAAAGACGGATCGGTTTTGAGTTTTGATTCATTTTTAATACTCGTGAGCACCAAACATTGAGCACGGAGGCAGACATCTCAAAACGTGGACGAATACAAACCAAAACTACTCGCACGACCATCTGCCACTAGATGCCAAATGATTATTATTTGCAATTTTGGGTGAAATGATTCTTTGAGTCGAGCGTAATGTGGGCGGTTATGTTGCATTGAATGACAGTTTGAGAGGGAACTCTGCACGAGGGACCGGTATGCAGGCCTGGTGTTTGTTTGTTGAAATGATGTCTCACTCCACTGTTCTCTCTCTCCTTGAGCTCCGCTGATATTCTATATTCTTCTCAACAAATCCCTGAAGACCAAAACCATCAATGTGCAAATCTGTTTATCAATACAAATGACCTACTTTGATTTTAAAAAGGGTTAAATAACTTAAATAACTTGCTTCAGCAGCTGGGAACCGTAGTTTTTAGCAAAGGTCGGTAAATGTCTGTTCCTGGTAATGAATTAACATGTCTCACTGATGTTTTTAATGGTTTTTGGACATAAATGAAGCGCTTCAGCACAGCAGAGGATGAGATCTGAGGCTTTTAGAATACTTGGTCTTTTCACGGGCTTTGTAGACGATAAGAAGATAGAATATCTCCAGACTTACTCTTTAAGTTGTGTGTGTGTGTGTGTGTTAGCGTTAGGTACTGATAATGAAATTGAGTTTGTACGTTATGTCGATGTTGAGCACGTAAAGCTTTGTATGAAGACAAATCTCCATCACAGAGGACTTGCGAGGTGACGTCTCCATTCTGAAGTGTGTGTCGGAGTCATCGCTCCAGACTAAAAGTTGTGCATATTAATGAGCTTATTTTAAATTGAGAACCCTTTGTAGCTGCAGTTAGATTGAAATGGAGACGGCCGATAAGCACACACGTGTTAAGAAGCTCAGTGTTTTTCTGTCTGCCAGTATTATTATTATAACAGGAAATGAGCTTCACCAGTCCCGACAATCCGGTCACGTGTCTGATGATTTTCGTACCAGTTCCTGGTGCAGTACGACATGCTGAGGGCTGTTTGTCAGTGACCCGTTGTTTTATAAAAATTGTACAATTATAAAAAAAAAAAGTTTGAAGTTAGTTTTATTTTTCTCTTTTAGGCGATTAGTTTCATTCTTCAGTGTAAAACATCAACATACTATACTATGACTGATAAGTATACTACGACATGTTCATGACATGCTATACTATGACTTTTTTAAAGATTATTTTATAGCATACGATAACATTTTTTATGTCATACTGTTTAAGCTAAACTCTGACCCATCAGTTCCTGAAACACTCAAACCCCATCACCAACAACCACGCCATGTTACAAGTCCCATGAATCACATTCTGATGTTTGGTTTGAACTTCAGCGGATCATCTTCAACATGTCCACATGCTTCACTGCACTGAGTTGAGTGAGGCCGTCACCATGCTGTGCATTGAGCCGTGCTGACTGTGTCTACAGCTGCTGGAGGCAGCAGAGGACGTGGGTCTCCTGTAGGTTCTTGAGGAGGACCGGCATCTTCAGGCAGGACTGGAAGCTCATATATCAGCAATTCTCTGACATATCTGATATTCATCATTTCTTCCTCATCAACACCGAAAAAACCCACACAGACAACAGTTAATAATCTTTTAATAGTTACATAATCTCTGTACATTTACAAACATTAAATTACACGGTTTAGTTTATAAACTAATCTAAACAATGCTTTCAGTGGGTCCTCTTGAAACAGTTTTCAGACTCGTGGTGCCAATAAAACAACAAACCCTCCATGAAACACGTCGGGATAAATAATAATCTGATAATACTGAAAAGATAAAAAAATTATCTGAATTGTCTCAATGATGCTGCAGAGCGGCACCGACTCTGTGGAATGATGCTGTATACTGGTTTATACACAGGCTTTAGTCCGCACAAACATTTACAACGTCCAGTGTGCTTGTGTTGAACTCACATACTGAGGAGCGTGAGTACCTGTGTGTGTGTCTTGGTATTACTGTACATGTACGCACTGCTCAGCAGTTGACGCCCAGGCCGGTCCAGTGGTCCGGTACCATGAGGAAGTATTTGTCCATGGCCTCGCAGAAGCGAGATCGGTACAGCTCCGGAGAGACCACGGTGGGCATCTTACCTGAACGAGACAACACGACATTAGAGACAGGAAACAACGTTCAGACTCCACGCCATCATGGAGGCATCACAGCGCCATCATGGAGGCATCACAGCGCCATCATGGAGGCATCACAGCGCCATCATGGAGGCATCACAGCGCCATCATGGAGGCACAGCTGTCCTCAGTATTCAGTTCTGTTCCTCTGGCTAAAACATCCACAGACGTTCAATTGCTGGTCTTCTGTGCTGACTACAGATACCTCGCACAACCCCACTTTAAAGAGTCCAAACTGTCCCTTTAAGACTCACCTTGACCTCCCAGGATTCCGGTGGACTTGACGACCATCTCCAGCCTCTTGTCCCATGTAAATGTCCGGATATAATCTGCAGCAAAGAGTAGCAGGACAGGAGACATCACCAGATAAATACATCCAAACAAGTCCAAACTAACACCTGGTGCTGACAGACGTCTCCTCCTCTCACCTATGATCCCGACCACCAGCTGATCGGTGGCGTCGTCGCGCCCCACCAGCAGCGAGTAGTCGATGATGAGGTGGCTGGACAGGAAGTAGGCGTCGCTGTGTATGGCGGCCCGCAGGATGGCCTTGCAGTGGGAGCGGATGTACAGCGGGTTGTCGTGGATCAACTTCAGAAGGTTCTCGTCCAGCAGAACCACCTCGCAGCTTTCCTTCCCCGAGTCCGTCTTCACGTTGCGGTTCCTCAGGGAACCTTTGAGGTCAAACACCTGCAGAGGAAGATGTCACGGATCAGGACACGTTTTTAACAAACTGAGGATGTTCCAACGTCATAAAACGTATCATATATATATAAATATACCTGAGCCATCTTGCGTCCGTAGAAGAGGTTCTCCATCACCAGCAGGTCCAGCTTCTTCTCCGTGTTGTTCTGAGAGTTCTTGTAACCGATCCTGTAAACACCCAGAATCTTCGCCAGCGCCGTGGGTCGCTGTGGTGCAGAAACAGGTTTTGTTATTCATTTAAACTCTACTGGAGACAAAATACAGGACGTCTCTTCACGGAGCGTACTTTCTGCTGCACCGCTCCCGTGATGTAGGTGAAGTAGTGCGGTGCAAAGTCCAGGAAGGACTGGACCTCCAGTCTGGGCATCTGCTTCAGAATGAACCGGTCATCTGGCACAGAGGAGCAGACGGTTCCTGTTATCAACACGCTTTTAAGAGATGGACCAACACATTTCTGGTTATCATTTGTTGCCAATAATAAAAAATAAGAGAAACTAGAATGAAAGCCTGCTGGTTTTACGCCTCCGCCAACCAGTCGAGCTACAGTTTCCATCCATGTCTGTCCACAATGTGGAATACGTGTTTTGTGAGGTCACACATTCTAATCGGTTCATGCTGGAGTCCGGGGTGGACTTCTGTGCCAAATTTGAGGAAACTGACGTATGTTTTGTACGATGTTTGAGGAAAAAAAAAAAAAATCTAAATTGCAAAAAAAGAAGAGAACACTTCGCTGACTCAACGCGTTACATTAATGCACATTTTTGGATTATCGTCTTTGCATATTGCACATATTCTTTATAGTGTGGACGTTTGCTCTTTGGTTTAAACATTGCACAGCTCTTTTTGTTTTAAATACATATATTTTTCATGATAAATCCCTTTTTGTATTCATGACTCCTGACCTTTACAGTCCTTCCTGTTTATTTGGATTTCTTGTTCCCCCAAAACACTAAAGGTACATTCCCTGTTTGTAAAAGCTCACCTGGCAATAAACCTGATTCTGATTCTGGGTTGAGAAGAGTCACAAACACAAACCCGTCACCCAGCAAATACACTAAAATACACCACGACACATTTAAAGATAGCTCATCCGTAGCTCTGTTGGTTTATTCTAAAGTATTGATTTTTGGCATTTTTATATATAAATCCATCTTTCTTTAAAGGACTTACCCACCCCATCACATACAATCACATTTAACTGTTAACTTTTGGGTCGTAAAAGCTAGTAGAACAATAATAATAATGAACATTTAATAATATGTACAATATAACCAGAAATATGTCCCGTTACTGAAGCTGAAGACGCTTTTACTTCTGTGTCGCAGTGACTTTGAGTACCGGCTGCAGTATTAGTGACATCTATCGGAGGTGTTGTATAAATACAACCTTCTGTTGCGTAGAACACAGCTCCGGACTTCCCCCCCCGAGCCTGCCAGTTGACACAGTGGGACAGCGAGCGGATGAACTCCTCCTCGGTGCTCTCCATGATCTCCTCGCGCATCTTGTGGAACTCCTCGGCGTAGTAGATCCGACAGTAGAACTTGGCGTTGGCATCAGAGAATTCTACAAATGACCACAACAGACGAAGGTTCACATCGCTCAAGTAAGTCCTGATTGTACTTACGTACTTTTACTTAACCAACAGTATTTTAAAGGGGTGGCATTAGTACTTGCTCCACCACTGATCTCTAAGGTAAATAACTGTACTCACGCAGCTCAACGTGTGGATTCAGGGTCTGCTTCTTCTGCTTATCTGCCAGGTCTGCATCCTCTGCACGAAACAGTAATAAAAGTGAATCGTTCCACATCTAGATGTCTTAAATCCTCCGTGAATGAAGTAGATATTTGACCTAAACTCTTACTGAGGGGGTCCGTCTCCATGCTGGAGCGGCTCTGCTGGGACGAGGCCGACTCACTGGGCCGGGCGGGGCTGCTCTTAGCCCGACTCTCCCCAGCACTGAAGAGGGACAACAGACAACAGAAGTTAGAGCAGCTCATCCTGTTTAGTTAACGTGTTTATCATTTGACACGATCAGCTGACCAGTTAAAAGTTAAATAAAGTACTCAACAAAGGTGCAGTACTTCAGTAATTGTGTGTTGGTACCTGATGACCTGCGGAGTCTCGTCTCCGCCTGCGTTGGACGTCTTGGACAGATCATCCAGAGACGTTTTGTACTCCTTACAGCTGGAAAACAAAACGACATCATGTTTGACATTAACGCAGACGTTTTTAAAGCTGCACTCTGAGCTGAGCCAGAGAGAGCCGGCGGGTGTCACCTGAGAGCGAAGGCGATGATGGAGCTGGGCTCTCGCTCACACACGGCGATGGGAACCCGCTCGTGTTCGTACATCAGGTAGTGTTTGTCCGGGTCACTGTCAACAACAGAGCACATGACAGTCAGAGGCAAACAGCTGAAGCCTGTGACGAGCCCGAGTACAGCTCATCCTTTTATTGCATCACCGGGTCCTGGATCTTATGATGAATTTGTTTAAATCAATATTTAATTATTGAACAAGACAACGGGCCCTATTTCAAAGACCTATAGCGCACGGTCTAAAATGCATTTAGCAAATTCATTTTAAGTCCACAGAGCATCACTCACAACGGGAAAGGGATGGGGTTGTAGCTGTTGCCGGGCAGGAAGGTGGCGAGGATGGCTTTCATGGTGGATTTCTCCTTCACCTGGCTGTCAGTGGAGCCCAGCAAGTGTCCGTCAAACACATCTGACAAGCAATCAAAGAATGTATACAGATTAGACAGCTACAGTAAGCTACAGGAGATGTGTGTGTGTGTGTGCGCACACCTTCTGGGATGCTGACTGAGTCCTGCTCAGTGAAGGAGGGAACAGGAGTGTAAGGTTCAGCTCCAGGTTCTCCTGGTGACGGCAGCAAGGAGGAGGAGGTGGAGGGCAGTATGCAGAGATGACGGTCCTCTGTCGATGGAATAAATATTAATAATTATATAAACTACAGTCAGCTTCACCATCACTCTTCACTGAGTCACAATAAAACAGGACGGATTCAGGTCTGAAACAGAAAGCTCACCTTTGTCACCATTCTGTACCACAGGTGAGGGGTTGCGGGGGGAGGAGTCCAGAGTACTCTGTTGAATAAATAAATGAACAAACAAATTAATTAAACTTAAATGAGTTGAGGTAGTGCTACACAGCAAATCAGCTGTGTTTACATCAACTTCAGTAACTTGTTTGGGACTACAAATAACAATTATTTCCAATAATAATTAGAAAACAGTAAAAAATACTTAAAGTTATGTCCTACAGCACAAAGTGACTTCATCAAATGTTTTGTTTCCTCCAACAAACAGTCCAAAACCGAAAAATGAAATTGGGTGCACAAAAATGTAACGATGTTACCGACCTTGCTGTCGTCAGCGGCGGTCTGTCGGTGTCTGCCCGGGCTGGGAGGGACGGACAGACGCTTCCTGCCTTTCTCCTGCTGGAACAACTCCTGCAGCCTGGGGGGGGGGGGGAGACAACAGAGTGAGGACTACAGGGAGGAGCCTGGTGACCTCATCTAATACATTAAGAAACAGATCAACATATTCTTATGTACTTGAAGGCGAAGGAGTCAAACGGTGGTGTAGTACCCTGCAACTTGAAGGTTTTTGCAAAAGGAATCATTTTTAATTGGTTCGTTTTGGTAAGATGAGATAGAACCTAATTCATCCTGAGGGTAATTATTGTGCAGTAGTTGCAGTACAAAGTAGGAAAGAGTATAAATGTAAATGCAAAACCAAAATATACACAAGGCCAAAAACACAGACAGACATATAGGAGTTGATTACAGGTAACGCTGTCTTAACAAACTACCAATGTGACTTTCATGACACTGAATATCCTTTTTGCTCATATGAAACATGTTACAAGACGTCAGCAGTGGCTCTGACCTGCTGTTCCAGGACTGCAGCATCTCACACAGACTCTGTTTCTTCATCACCAGCGACTCCAGAACCGCCTGCACCTGCTGAGGAGAATCCAGACAGCAGGCCTGAAGTCGCCCCTGTAGCTTTTCAATCCAGCTCCGCAGCTCTGCCTCTTCCATCTACACCACACACACACACACACACACACACACACACACACAGAAGCGCCACTATGAGTCTACATGACGACCACTTAAAACCAGAGACATACCGACACACGGGGAAGGAAAAAACAACCTACGTCTTTCTGAGCAAAGAGGTCCTCCATCTTCTCCTCTCGCGTCTTACTGAAGGTGTCGGTCTTGAGGGAGGTGAGGCGGTCGTCTATGGCCAGGTACACCTGAGCCACTCTGAGGAGAGAGCGGAGGGAAACAGTGGACTGGTGGATGTGTTCAGGTGATGTGCAAAGAAACTAAATCCACGGAAGGAAGGTGCAACTCTAGTTTAGAATATTAGCCTCGGGGCGTTAAAAGAAAAGGACAAATGTATTTATTAAAATTTCCTCGTTAGACAAAAGCGTGTTTACTTTTTTGTATCGCAGTTCTTTCTCACTTTGTTTAATTGCTGTATTTTTATATTTCTTCTGTTAGTTCTTGACTGAAATTCACTAATCTCTCAACCTAATCGCGTTAACGGAACACCGTTTAGACAGTTTCCGCGTGCTTGACGTGTCTAGATGAATGCAGACTGATGAGCTCCGTCTTTACTTTAGAGAGAAGTCCTTCAGGTCCTGCTGCAGGTTGGTCTTCGATGGTCCCAGGTTCCTGATGAAGATCTTGGGACGAGGAAGACAAATCTCCAACAGACGAACAGAAGTGTAGCTGAGAAGGAGCGAGACGGGAAAACTGTCTGTGTGAAGACTCGTTCAAGGATTCCATGATCACAACAGGAGCTTTTCAGTATTAGTGGAAGAAGTGTAATGAGCTTTTATTCAACTAAAAATAGTGTAAATTAATGCAAAATAAAGTAAAAAATCCTGCATTAATGCTGTCATCACTTTAAAGAGTTCATTGTAATTACTTTAGCTCCACTTATAATAATATTCCCTGCTCAGGACGCCATTACTCCACCGTATCTTTACATAAATAGTTGTTTGCTGCCATATTAATACTTAAAACCTCATGTATTAAACCTGTAATAAGTCTTATTTGGCGGTGTATGAATGAAGGATAGAGGCCACGGTGACAGCTGACCGACCTGAAGGAAGCCACCATCTGGTTGTAGGAGAAGTACTGGTGGTAGTCTTTGTGGATGGAGTGTCCGCAGGGCTCCGCGTTAGCCCTCCGGGTGTACTGGTGGCCGTAGAAGCGAAGCTCCAGGTATTTGGCGAAAGACATGGACCACGAGTCGTTGGACAGCGGCACCACTGGTGTCACCTTACAATCAGAGGCGGAGGTTGAGTGTAAGAGAGAGAAGTCGAGCCTGATAATCAGACGGAATGCTTCACATCACTTCTCTGTTAATATGACTGACCTGTTTGCAGATGCGGCACCAGGAGTAGTTGAGGATCGTGTGCTGATAACCGGGCACAGGGGAGTCCAGCTCCTTCAACACAATCTGCACACAGCCACTGCCGTGCACAAAGCGCCGGATGTGGTGCACCATGGGAGTCTCACAGAACATGCTGGGGCAATGGTAAGACGGCCTGGAATAAACATCCACGCACACACAGCTTTATGAAGCACACTGGGAGGCTTACGTACTGTAAGAAGTGTTAAAAGCTACATGATAATCTGTTTATATTCATAACAATACATTTAGTTCACTGTTGTTTTATCTTACCGGAAACAGTATCGCTCCAAGAACACACCGAGGGAGAGGTCATTCTTGCCGTAGAAGTCCATTGTGACAATCCTGCTGACAACAAACAAAATGGCTACAAATTCATCCAAAACAAGGACTGAGATTCTTTATGAATGCTCTGCACATGAACAGGGTTTACCATGGGCTGACGCAGGGGTTGGGCGCGTTGCTGGACTCAGCTGAGGAGCTGCTGAAGAGCACACACAGCCTCTGGTGGTTGACGGGGTTCAGACAGTCCAGCTGAGGACAACAACAACAACAACAACAACAACAAACACAAACGTGAGTGAAGTAAGATGAAAAGAAGAGCCACAGGCGGCCATTAATAAACACACCGTACTCATAGTTTCCCTCATAAATGAATAATCGGGGCTGGGGGACGGCAGGCCGGACTGGACATTGGGAACATCGGGAGAATTCCAGAGTTAAAAATGCAAAATTAAAGGAAAAGCGAAAAACGATACAATCACTCAGAACTGTAGACCGCCAGCTTCAACCTGACGGTACGATCCCTGCCTGACATCACATGTGATGACCCGCATGCACATGCTCATCCACACAATGTCTTTTTAGTGTTTGGAGTGAGCGTGAGTGGAGAAGAACTGGACAGCGTGGGGGAAGCGGAGGAGCTGAGAGGGAGGAGCGCGTTAAAAGGGAGGAAAGCCCTGCAGGAAAGTGCAGCTAAATGCTGCAAAACTACGTTCACAAACAAGACATATTGTTAGCAGAAACTACCTTTCCTGAGTTAATTCTACTTATTTAAAAAAAAATTATAATTTGCATGCTCTGTTGGAAAGCAGGAGATGCATGTATAGGGAGATAATACAGAAGATAAAGACCTGTGCACTCTTTTCTCTCAGGTGGAAGTAGCTCCAGTTACTCAGAGCAACCAGAGCTTCGTGATGATCAACACAAGTCCAGTCAGAGCTCTGAGGAAACGACAGGTGCAAAAACAAACACTCCTAAATTTTTATATATATATATATATATATATATATATATATATATGTGAATAGTTATTCCTGTAGCTTTATGGAACAGCATTTAACTGAAGACGCTGGGCTGTTTTTAACTGTTTTCCTGAAGCAGTTTTTGTGTCACTGGTATTAACAGTAAACAGAAGAGTGACGGTTACAGTAAACACGGTCTGTCGTGGATGTGTGGAGATTGGTCTGAGCTGATTAGTTTGAATTATTTTCCCAGTCCGGTCGGAGGAGAAGAAGTGAAATGCTGAAGACTGCTGTGAAGTCAGCGTGGATGTAGACAATGCAGGTTTTGAAATGCTCCAAAATTTTAAAAAAATAAATCTTTTCAAATGTTTTGTGATGAGGGGAATGATCGTTGTGGTGAGTTACACTGAATGCAATGATCATTTGTGTTTGCTTATAAGCAGTTAATGAATAACGGTCTCCACACTGCTCACCTTGGGGACCCAGCTCATCTCAGTCAGCTTGCTTGGCTTCTCCTCTTCGCTGTCAGCCCTCGCCGGTGGCTTCACCGGAGCGTCCAGCGCCTTGCTCTGCAGGCTGACGGGAGTCGCGGCGCTGAAGGGGTCAGCGGCCTCCCTCTGTCGGATACGGCCTCCCTTCGCTCTGTAGTCGGCCAGCATCTTGGACAGTCCCTGGCTGCCGCTCAGCTGCTCTATGATGCGCGTGCTGGTAAGACTGTGGGAGGGCAGGACGTCGATGGGCTTCGGCTGAGGGCCGCCGTTGGTCTGTCCACTAACCAGAGCGGAGGGGGCGGAGTCTTTAAGGAGCAGCCGCTTTCTGCGTCCGTCCAGTTCCTTGTAGTCCTTGTTGAGGAGGGGAGATAGGTAGACCTGGAAGACAGGGAGGACACAGATGGACACAAGTCGGAAGAAATAAAGGAAACTCTGCTGAATAACAGTCTGGAGCGATGAGTCGATAAATCAGCTGTTAAAGTCATCTGTTAAGTTAAAAAGCCTAAATCTACTACTTTTCTCTGTTTCATATCACTGTAAAGTGAATATTTGGGGTTTTTGGACTGTTGGTCAGACAAAAGAAGACATTTAAAGACATCAGTCTTGCAGGAATTGAGATTTTCTGACATTTTATGGACTAAACAATTCATTGATTAATCAAGAAAATCATCGTTAGTCGCAGGTCTTATTCAGTATGTGTAGGCTAAACAGAAGAGAGCAAAGCTAGGTACCTTCTCTGGGAAGTAATCCCTGCTGGGACAGTGCATGCCAGCAGGCATGAGGAGAAATGGTTCTTTAAATGTGAAGAAGGGGGAAATGCACAGGATGATGTCCTTGAGCTCCTGCTTGAAGATGGCAGAGATGGACTTCAAGCGGTCGTCGGTTGAATCCACCTGCTCGGTCACAAACATCCCCGTGTCATCCTGCAGGGGGTCTCGGAACGACCGAGTAGTGGCGGCACATTCCCCGTCATCCGTATCGTGTGAATCCCCCTTCACTAGGCCTCCCTCTTCCCCCGTCTCTTCCTCAGACGCCATGATGAGAGTATCCGAGTCCATCTCCTGGTCTTCCTCCATGAGGAACGGAGGCGGGACACACAGAGGCGGTGCAATGGAACTGGGAAATGGCGTGGAGGTCAGTGCCTCTATGTTAACAGCCTCCCTGTCTTGGAAAGGGGAGGACGAGTTGGGATACAGTTTGTCTTGGAGAATGTCTATATCTCCATTTTTGGATGACGACTCAGTGGGAAGCCCTTCCTCCTCAGTTCGTCCTCCCGGTGCCGAGTCTTCGGGCACTACCGTTTCCTCCAGGCTCTCTCCATTTGTCTCTCCATCCGCCGCCTCCTCCTCCTCCACAGACATGCCCTCCAGCAGGCAGGGGAATGAGGTGCTCTGGGCCAAGCTGGGCGGCATGGCGAACTCGTCCATGAGGAAAGAGATCTCCAGCTGGGAGTGGTAGGCCACGCACACCATCAGCATTATGATCTCCTTCACCCGGGCCAGCTCGTACTCGGAGGCTCCTCGCAGCTTGATGGAGCATCCGAGATGAAGAGGACAGCCCTCAAAGAACATCAGAGTCTTCACTTCATCTGGAGGGACAGAAACAGAAAGCATGGTTTAGTCAACAGGGCGTTTCTTTTATCTCACAGCAATTTAAACTGAGAGAAGTAGAGTGGAGGTGTGTCTCTCACCGTTGGCCAGGGTGAAGGGCTGCATGTAGAACTTGAGGCAGGTTCCCAGACGAGGTTTGGTGAGGAGCTGGTCCATGGACATCACCAGGTCTCCCTGGGTCATACGACTCACCCTGTCCAGGACTTGCTACAAATGAAAAAGGAGAACACTAAAAAGTGATCCAGGACCACTACGTACAGAAGTTGTTCTAACTTTTGGTGATTTTAATATTTGTTTTATGTGCTGATTATAAACAAACAGTGGCTAAAGCATCAGTTATAAAGCACTGATACTTCACTGACCGGTTTGACGTTGATGACCAGGGTGATGCCGTGCTCCAGCAGCATGTCCTGAGCAATACGAGACACGGTCCTCTCCACTAACACCAGCGTTGGACGGACGTCTACTATCCGCTGCACATAGTTCTTCAAAAACTCTCGTTCCTGAGCGAGAGACGAAGAAAAATCTGGTCTTAGTTTCAAGCAAACGGAGGCAAACGCAAAGCAGGCTACAAACTGTGGTTAGCGTGACCTACTGACCTGCAGCACAATGGGGTCGATGCAGGAAAACTTGGACTCCTCCCTGTACAGGTACTCTATGGAGCACTTCAGGAGCAGGATTTTGGGGTTCTTGATGTAGGAGTTCATCTGATTACAGGTCAGACAAGTATTATTTAAACTGCCAATATACTCCTGAATTTCCTGACATCACTGTTGATTTCAAAGAGACAATGAACGTGAAACAGAGGAACATGATCCTACCTTCTTGTGGGCGACGTTCTTGGTGCATACAAAGCCGTTTACCACCGTCGAGTCAAACTTCCTGCCTCCAGAGATCTGAAATGGAGATTCAGTTAAACCACCTGAAGCAGACAGTCTAATTGGCTGATTTCATGCCTCCTATGCACAATTAAATGAACACGTCTAACCTCCCAAAGAGTGACACATGACTACGGTTTGACTGATTCGACGAGACGGTGTCTGACCTTCTTGATGTGGACCAGCTGGCGGATGTCCATGTCGTCATCACAGTTGCGAACGTCGGGCCGCACCGTCTGGACCACCTGTCGGACCACGGGGACGATGATGTCCCGCCAGGACAGAGACAGAGACTCGCTGTAGAGCAGCTGCTGCAGCAGCGCCATCATGTGGCTGTGGTTGGCAGAGCTGAACAAAAGGGAGGCAGATGGTTCGACAAGAGGTGAAAATATCTTTGTTATGATGAACAAAAAGTTGCTCTGTGGAAACCACATGCTGTTCAAAGAGCAGAGCACTTAACACGACAAGAATCAACTAGAACACAGCAGCTTTTTTCACATCTTGTATCTGCAAACATCAGTAAGTGCGTTCTTCTAAATTGCAGATAGGTGGTGCCCTAGTGGACTTGTACCATGATGTATAATCCCACTGGACACAAACAGAGGCATCATGTCCACTCACAGCAGCCTCTCCATGGCCTTCTTCTCTCCGTTCTCCTCTCGGAGCTGATCCAGAGAGCTGTGGTGCCAACCCAGCGGAGTAAACAGCATTTCTTTAGCCTTCTCCTCCACGCGACGGTTGAACAGAGACTCTGCAGGGACGTCAAGTCAAGAGCAGGTTGAGCTTAACTATTTAGGCAATTTAATGATTGTCTGATTAAGTCAATAAGGAAGTGCAGAGTTCCTACCCTTGATGAAGGCATCACTTATGACGATATTCTGTCCTCCATCCTCAGACAGAAGGAATTCAGCTACAAGAGGGAGAAGGAGGAAATGAGCAGCAACCACAAGAATGTCTAAACCAAACAACTGCATGAAAGAAATGTGACATATTTACATTAGATATTGTGTTTTCAGCAACATGTACCTTTCTGCTCAGCTGCAGAGGGCACATGTGGATACTTGGACTGTTTCTTGATGTGGAAGTTGACGTTGTTTTGCTCCATGTTGAGGTTGATGGAGGCCGCTGAGTCGCTGTCCACCGCCGACTGGAAACTGCTGACAGATGTTCTCTTGCTGGGGCTGGCAGAGTCTGGAAAGACAGACACGGGAGTGAGCTGCAGGATTTTACAGTGCAGTTGGCTGAGGTTTTGAACTATTAAGTATTGATTATTTTCTCCATTAAGCGACTGCTTGTTGGGTTTGTAAATATTCTGAAAAAGTCACAATGTTTGTTTTGTCCAACCAACAGTTTAAACCTCAACATTATAAAAAAGGAAAAGCAGCAAATCTCCACATCTGAGAAGCTGGAACAACGAAACGTTTGGCATCTTTGTATTAAAAATGAAGATTATCGAAACAGCTGCCATTTAATTTTCTGTCTATCGACTAATCGATGAACCAAGTAATTATTTCTGCTGTACTTGTACAAACTGTCGGGTACTTTAATTCATAACAAGACATATTTGTATGTTTATATACAAAAATCTATCTTAATTTGTAAAGTAAGTAAAGCTGTCAGAGAAATGCAGTGAAGTAAAAAATAAAATATTTACCTCTGAATTGTTACTATAAAGTGGCATGAAAAGATAATACTCAAAGTATAAGTACCTCCCATTTGTACTTATGTACAGTACCTAAGTAAGTACCTAAGGACAGTACTTAAGGACAGTACAGTACTTAAGTAAGGACAGTACTTAAGGACAGTACAGTACTTAAGTAAGTACAGTACTTAAGTAAGTACAGTACTTAAGGACAGTATCACCACCACTGGAAACTAAACCAAAGCTACATGTGCAAAGAGCAATGATCTAAGCCAACAAAAGGGTTTTCTTAAAGCGTTAGACGTGTGATACGTACTCGGCATGGCGTACTCGGTCTCATCTGCGAGCTGCTCTGTGTCGCTGTCATCAAACTTGATGTCCTTGAACCAGGACGGCTCTGAATGTCCCTCCACGGAGTTCACGCTGTCGCTGTCTGGAGACGGCGTCTCGGAGAACTCTGTACTCTGGAGACCAGAGAGAGAGAGACGCCGTCAGCACAATCGCTGAAGCTACAAGTGATATGTCCTCTGGTGTTATCAGAAGACCCCGTAGAATCAATCAATATTAACACATGAGCTGTGAAAATATGTTGCGGCAAATGTGAAACACGTTTGGAACGATCTGTGATTTGAAATCACAGTGTGCACAGACGGGCTGTTACCTGGAGGGGGCGGTAGAGAGCATACTCGTCCCTGAACAGCTGGTCGTGGTGAGTGACACAGTCCAGCCAGCGACCGTCCACTAACGCCTGGCCTATGGCGATAGCCTGGGCCCTGCAACACAGGAGCATCAGGATTTAGACGAAGGGCTGAACAGTCAAACACAAGATCAAGAGCAGCTTAAACAGGAAGTGCCAATGGCAGCAGGAGTGTATGAGACATAGAAAACAACAGTTATCTTCAAATTGATTCTCTAACTGCAGTTTGACACTCATGTTTGCACAATGTACTAGCAATTAGGTCAAGTTCATCTGCAAACGCAGCACAAGGGACAGCACATTTATATTCAACTAACCAAGAATCTATCACAGGAAAGAACGGAGTGATGCACGATGGACATGGAAGAAAAAGGAGCAGAAAAGGAGGAATAAGACAAAGCATGTTGGAGAGACAGAAGAGATAGCTTCCTTATCCATGTATAAGAGGCCAAGTCAAAGAAAGATCCCCGACCCAATTGTTGTTTAAAGTGTCAATAGACAACTTTTCAACGACCCCTTTACTGTTGGTGCCGCTGTCACAAAGACAACTGGAGCGCTTCCTCAGAGCCAAACAACTCGGCAACTTTCTTGCTAGATTGAAGCATTTTTAGACCTTCCGAGCAACTTTATTTCCAAATAACGACAAATTTAGAGATTTATTCAGACCATCGGGGGAAAAAAGCAAGAAATATATTTGCATATTGCATAACCTGCATTAAGCTTTATGCAAATGTCTGATGGCGACACCAATATGCAAATGAGTGTAGGGTGTCATCTGACATGTTCCACTCCCCACCAACTACTGGGGATAGTAACTGCGAAGACCTTACATCGACACTAAAGCGTTATCTTCTTCCTGTTTTGGTTGCACAATGGTTGACACACTTCCTTTTACAAAATAAAGTTCTTAAAAAGGAAGTTATAATAGACAGGATGTGATGTCATTCTCTGAAAAGGAAAGCAACACTTTGTCCAACACAAGGTAAGTTTGCGATGATCACTACAAACATATCTGTTTATACCAATCACATATTTGTTCTCTTAATATGAATCTACGGACCACAAACAATTAGCATAGCTTAGCACAAAGACTTGAAACAGTTAGCTCATCAGATTTATATTTAATGGACGGATATGAAAGTGATATCAATCTTCCTTCCAAAGACCCCTAACACGACGCAGTACAGAAAAAGAACATGTTGGTCCGGTGGGATGCTACCTGGTGGAGATGGTGCCATTCCTCAGCAGCCAGTTGACAAGCTCTTTTCCCACAATGCAGTTGGGGTAGGTCCTCAGCCAATATCTGTGGTCCTGGAACTCCATCCCTGTGCTGTTGTGGCAGATCTTCTTCCACAAGTCCTTCAGCTGCGAGGAGTCCTGCAGGATGCGAGGCGTGTCAGTATGTAATCACAAGTAATGTTTAATAACGCCAACGTTTCGGTTTGTTCCTCTTTTAGGATTGGATAAAAGAGGAATCAAACTTGCGGTTAGGGTTGTTGTGGTAAAGGAATTCCCCCTGTGGGGTTTTCAGCTGGTTCAGCAGCGCGATACGTTTAACTTACGCCATTATTTTCTCCTGATAGACTACATGGCTTCTCATCTTTATGAAAGAACAGGATTAGGCCAAGTCACTGAGAGACGACTGCTAAAATCAACAAAATAACAGCGTCATGGTCATTAAGTAAATAAAAAAAAGGTGATCAGATTGTTTCGTTTTGTTAAATATTCATAGACGAGTTAAACGAGGCGATGAACATCATTGAAAATGAAAGATTAAAAGCAGCCACCAGTAGGATCTTCCTCTCCTCCTCGCTGTGATCCAGCTTGCTGCCACTCTTGGTGCCCGACATGGCTCGGCTGGTTGGTGGGCTGACTGAGCTGTCGTAGGACGGCACCATGGAGGACCCAGGGCGGTCCAGCGACAGGTTGGTCACACTGGCAGATCTGTGGAGGAGACACGCAGACACCAGTTGACACTGCTTGGCTTCACTCGAGTGTGCCGAATCGAGCCGGGAGACATTGTTCTTCACGAGGGAACCAAACCTCTTCCTCGCGGGGGATTTGCCGACGTCTTCTTGTAGCGTCGTCAGTCTGGAGGTCAGGCCACTGTTCTGCTGCTCCTGGTGAATCATACTGATGAACACACACACACAGACTTAGATTCATCATCATTCACTTTCTCTTCACACTTCCTCTATGTCTAGTTTATGATCACTGCATTTGAACAAGAAGGTTATTTCCTTACAGAGCTAGAAAGCTTTTACTTACAGACGGCTAAAGCTCGGACAGATGTGAAAAAGTAATGAAACAAACAGCAAGACTCACTTCTTTCTCATCCCAATAGGAGTTTTTCTATGCCGGGAGAGAGAGAGAGAGGGGAAACTGATTTTCTTTGAGGCAGGTTGATAGAGAAAATAAGCACGAAGCACACCGATTATAAAGAAAACACAGCAGCAAAACCAGACATGCACCAATATCAGATATCAGGCCGATACTCAAAACAGCTGGATCGGATATCTGCGACAGTGGGGCCTATCTATTCAGTCCAATTCTATGTTTATATACTATAGACATTATATGCTGGAATTTGAATTCCTGTTTACGTTTTGACCAATTTGTTGCTGCAATAAAAGGGTTTACACTTGAATTGTGATTTCTGTTAATTTAACAATTCAGTAAATGTATATTTACGTGTTTATTTGTTACATTGCAAAGTTAGTAAAGCAATGTTTAAAGCCCGATGTCCCCAGTCTCTTTTCAAACACACAGCTTATTAAACACAGGTATCTGATCGGTACCCAAAGCTCAGGCATCGCTATTGGAACTGAAAAAGGCAGAAACGGTGCATAACGAAGCCAAACAAGCATGAGGTTATAAAACGCATGCATTCTTGTACTATCCTCTAAACAAAGGTCTTTAAAGATTCACTTAACAATTAGCAAAAGTAACTTGAAGAGGAGGATTAGACCGCTCCTCGTGCTTTACTAAAGCTTCATTACTTAGAAACAGTTTATTGGTCCGTCAGATCACATGCTGCAAAGCATCTTTACATCTCACTGTGCTGTTAATTCCTCTCAGTCAGGGCTAACTGATATGGATATAGCATACCTCTGTTTCATGAGTCTTGACCATGCACAGGGTACAGTATGTACAAAGCACACACACACACACACACACACACACACACACACACACACACACACACACACGTCTAAAACAGCAGAAAATCAACCAAAGCCCGCTCCAACGTGACTGGTCTTTACTACAAACGGGTAGGTACACTGCAGGGATGGGTACAGGTGTGGCTGAATGAGGCATGAAATCAGAGCGGACACTGAAGGCATCATGCAGCCTTCTCTCTGATTGTATTTGGGCAAAATCAAATTGCTAACTTGTTTTTTTTGATTTGGTACCAGCGTGTGTGTGATCACCTCTGCCAGGTCAGGTCTTCCTCGAGGAAGATATTCCTGCTGGACTTACGTCCACCCACAGGTGTCCGAGGCTCGCTGGGCTCCAACACACACACAGAGCAGGTGGAGTCAGACAGGGCGCTCAGGTCCTCTCCAATGGAGCACGAGTCGGCCGAGTGAGCGTAGCTCAGTGCTATCTTCCGGCAGTACGTACAGGCCCGCAGATCTCCTGGGTCCACAGAGAGAAAGTACGAGAGACGACACAGAAGGACGAGTGTTTTTAGTGTTTTTTTACTGCATGATGAAGTTAATCAGACTATGTTACGATACTCTCAAAACTACTGTACATTCTCATTGGGGTAGCAGGCTGTTATTTGAGACAGACCTTTATTATTAATTAGATAAGAACCGAACATCCTTGTTTTCTTTGCTTGTACTGATAACTAGCTAACTGAGCAGGGCTGCAGCTGCATTAGCCGTGCAAGAGGATGTGGCCTGTGAGGAACCTGAGCATCAGAAGCTTGCGTGCAATGCATCCTGGTACATGTAGGAACCGTCTGCACAGCTCTGTGCATAGGATAACTCTGTTTTCTTGGTTAATATAGCAGCACTGAAGAGTTTATTGCTTCAATAGACTACATTTACCATCAACACGGATTGGTGGTTAATTTTCCTTATAACACACATTCACCCACAGTGACTGAAATAGGACATTAACCCTTTAGATTATATTGTTGAAATTATATAATTAAAGCGATGGAAATTAACATTATGCTTGGTTGGCATGCCCATTATAACGAGCACCTGGAGTTTATCTAAGCTGCCTGTATTATTTGGCTTTTATTTTGAAAATATGGTAATTATGACACCTACCCGTGTAGCCCATGAACTTTCCGGGGATTTCCTGGTTGCAGCAGCGGCTGCAGAAGATCTGGCCGCACAGACGGCAGTGGTGGCGGCGGCGGAAGGTTGTGAACTTCTCGTTGCAGTCGTAACACTCTTTACACTGGCTGTCCGGCATCCAGTACTGCTTCAGATCGCTGTCCTGCAGGGGGACAACAACCACAGCACACGGATTTAACCCACAGGGAGAAACGGCATGGGTGCAGCTCACGGCACAATATATACATTTAAAATGTTCTCAGGTCGACACATAATCCATTTAAGACACGACAAGATGAAGCAAAGACGGTGTGAAGGTGTGGATTGTGTGTGAATACCTGGCTCTTTCCCTCCATTATTTCCTTCAGCCTCTTCAGTGCAGTGCGGAGTTGCACAGCTGTGCGAGGGTCATGATTACTCAGAGGAGTATCTGACTTCCTGCTGCCGTCTAAAACAATGCATGTAGACAGAAACACACAGACCTCCAATAAGCACAAGAACTGAAATAAAGTTAATGAATTCTCTACAATCCACGCTACTGCATTGTCAAATATGCCTGTTTTAAAAAAATATTATATGTAAGGTGATAATAATTCAATTCCTCTTCCTCACAGTGCATTTAAACATACGTGACAAACATTTGACAATGCACTTCAACACCTTATGAATAACTCCCTTAAGAGTTGCAAATGTGTATAAAACAACACATCAATAAAAAGAACAAAAACATGTTGAAGACAGCAGTTCATTCATTAGAAACATTATTCCACTCATCTTGATTAGTACCTGAGTGTGAAACATTAGAGCAAACAAAAGACTGACAGGAAGCGCTTCATTAAAAATGCAAATATTAAAAGACACTGGCATGCACTCAGACACACACACAACAGTTTGTGTCTTTTGTTGTTAACGTCAAAATAAAAGCGTCTTTAGTGAAACCACACGGTGCAGAGGAGCCCTCACCTGGCCAATCCACTGCAATCAGAAAAGACATGAGAGCGGACGTTACAACCTGTACATTCATTCATCATTCTCATCGTATCTAGTTTGTTTTGTCTCACAAGTCTGCTCTTTTCCTCTTCAGGTTCATCAATAAAATACTACGGTAAAGAAACACTCCTCTTTTAACAAAACAACGAGGGTCTGAAACTCACTCTTCATACATTTGTTTCTCTACTTCCACAGAGGTTTTGTGGTTGTTGAATATGATTCACACGGAATGATCTCTTTACTCTGCTAATAATGCTCTATACATGAAAATGAATGTTATTGCAGAATCAAATAACAGCACCAGAGGAAAAGAGTCCTACACCGTGGAGAGTTCAACGATATCGAGCTAAATGTTTGTGTCATTTGCAAGTTTTCTGAGATTTTGGAATGTTTTCAGAGCTTTCCAAACGTGTATAACAGTGAGGTGTAAAAATACTTTTAGATACAAAATATAAAATGTGGTGTGTTGGTTAAGTGCCTCTGTTCTTTCCTTTCCTTTGTCAGCAAGTGAAGATGTCCTGAGCTGTTTGATCAGAAGGTTATCAGGCGTTGTGTCTCCGTTTCTTGACACACGCTTGTGTTGTTCAGACTAAATAAGGAGGCGCACACCTCCATCGGTCACCTTGTTTGTTAGGTGTAGTTAAAGTGGTTGAGTACTGAACTTTAGGATAAAGTGCATGAATAAAACTCTTCACTTCGGTCCTAACATGCAGCTCTACAACAGGCCGAATGTGTAATCTAATAAGACAAGACACGGTCCACGGTGTTATCAGTGGCCCCTGATTAGTTTACACATTACTCTAAATGAACTAACAAAGAGTTTCAGACTACAGATAATCAACCAAAGTGTGACGCAAGACAGAGGAAAGCTCCAGGTTTCTTAAGTTATGTTTAAGAAAAGCATTGAGAAAACCAGAATGAATAAAAATAAATGTCCTGTTAAATGAATCCTCCGATCTAATCCCAGAATATGAATCTTTGTTCATTTGCCAGTGGAAGAAAATGGCACACAATAGTTTACGCTGGACTTTAAGTGTATGAGATGTAGTCATGCCTATTATTTTGGAAGATTGACTAATTACTATTTTGTGTGTGTGTGTGTGTCTGTGTGTGTGTTTTACCGGAGGCAGTCGAGGTACGTCGGAGGAGGTCTGGGTGCTGTTTTCGGTGCGACCTGGAGATGTAGAGGGACTGGGTTGGACTTGAGGACCAGCTCCTCCTCTCTGATTGAGGAGAAGGGGACGGCACATCTGGCTTCTCTGAAACTGTTGAGGGAGGACGTCCATCCTCTATACACACACACGCACACACACACACAAACACACACCAGTAAGAGGAAATGAAGAAGAAAATGTAGTCAAGACAGAAAACAACAAATTAATATGTTTTAAAGCTTGGGTGGGTAATGTATTTTAGAAACGGGTTTTGTTATATTTCTTGAAATTCTCTTTCTCCAGATAAATAAATGAAATGCTTTGATAAAAGAAAAGAAGAAGAACATCTGGCAGACAGCTGTGAGTACAAACAATAACCATGTTGGTTGTTTAGGTTCATAATGATAATTTTGGGGGCGTGGCTTTGGAGGGGGGGGGCCTGAATGAATGAGCTGTCAGTGTTGCTGACTTAGCGAGTTCCTTGATCGATTTAGCGACCTTTGGAGCTAGTGCTGCTCGCTAAAAGCTCGCTCGCTGGTTTCTTTGACGTTACCGACACAAGCTTTACGTTTATTTGCTCTAACCAAACAGGAATTAACCGCTCAACTATCTCTGAATATAAAAATAAACACTGCAGTGAGGTTCAGTATATACAGTACATACATAATGATACAACTTCAAGTATCAGTCGTTGTACAAAGGTTTTTGTCTCTGTGGTGGGTTTTTATAAGCGGTCCACTTTTCCTATTTTACATTAAACTCCAATTGTTGAATTCTCAGAGACTTTTCCACATCGAGCATCTCTTCAACAACGTTGAAGTTAAGAGAATAGAAAACATTCGCTTGTTCTGGATTCTCAAATGAGGAGAATATCCTGCAGCTTTCTTCCTTACAAATTATATATTAAACAATTCAATTGTTTTTTTTACAAAAGAAGCTATTTAAAATGTGATGGAAATGTTTGTGTTTTAATCTTTTTAAAACCTTTGTGATACTGAAAGAAAAAGCAGCACTCCTTGTAATCTCCTCTGTAATAAATGTCAGTGAGCTGCCTGGAGGAGGAGGAGGAGGAGGAGGAGGAAGAGGAGGAGGAAGAGGAGGAGGAGTGTTGTTCAGTTACAGGACTTCAGAGGTGGGACTACAAACACACGAATCATGTGTTTCACTGCTTCCTGGAAGGCAATTTCAATCACATGACCTCACAAGACTCTGGTTAGTTGCTGTAAAATACAGCTCAGGATAGGTTTTAACATACTGTAATGAAGGATGTGTTTTTGTTACGCGTTGTATCCTGAAGTTAGTAAAAAGAAACAATGTAAAACCAAATAAAAATGACAAACTGTTTGTGAGTCACTGAGCTGTTCCTTAACGAGATTAGCAAATACAGCGCTGCCCTTTGACTTAGTAACATGATTCGGTTTAAATTACATTGTTCATTGTTACTTTTCCACTTTTAAGGATTAGACATTAAGGTCAGAGGTCTTTTTGTACGTGACGTTTATATTTACCAAATAAAGTCAAACATGAAGCAATTTGAAAGTAAGTGAGGTAGAGCAAAAATCTACAGTTCTTTTTCTTTGCAAAAATATATTCTGAAGTTCAGCTGAAGCTCATATGAAGGCAGCTTAGGCTGAACTTTAAAATCTGGGTTCCACTTCTCAGAGTGAAACTAATCTTTCCACACAGACATGAGACACGTGTTTGTAGACTCAGTGTGAAATCAGGATTTTAGCGAATAAATGTCGAGAAATATGCTTTGAAATCTAGAGAAAAGATTCCTTACTACTCCAGAACCTGCATGATAATCATAAGTTTTTTGCATTATCAAAGTCGTCTCAAGGCCTGATCACCCATAGGTACATTACATAAAGATGTAAACAAATATAAGCTTAAAGAAGCTCCAACAGCTAATTAATTAATCTCCCAAATTATAGTGACTGTATAGTTATGACCCAACTGGAAGTAAGGCCAAGAATAACAACAGGAGTGACTAAATCCAGTTTTTTTCATGTTGCACTACAAGATGTTTCAACAATACTAAGGCTCAGAATGTGTGTGTGGACCAGGTGTCTCACTTTTATCACCGTGTCGGACTTTGAAGATCCCTGAACTATATCGTGCATTGTCTACACATCACAAAAGTACATCACTTTAGCAAAACACAACATTGGAGATATATAACGGGGCTTCATCATAACTTCCTCTAGATTATTGTGGGCCTGACCTTTGCTGTTGAAGCGAAACAGGTTGACAAAGGAGCTGTACGCGGAGCGCAGGGGGGGATCATCCTGCTCCGGAGTCAGTGGTTTGAAGTGGGTCAGGTGGGAGGGGCTGCTGGGCGAGGAGACCGGCGGCTCTACGCTCCAGTCCGTTGAGGATGAGGACGAGGACTTTTCATCAGCAGCCATGACACTGCTAGTCCTGCTGGAGATGTGACAGCAGATATCTTGAGCATGAGCAGCCCTCTAATACCCGTGTGGAGCACTGACCTGACAGTATGTTAAACATAAGCCAGACTCAACCTGACTACATACGAACCAGTCTATTATTGCTGCCTTTAAAACTGCATGTGCATAAAACTGTGTATACAAAGACAGAGAAGTGGAAAGTGACAGCAAACAGGAAAATTACCTCAAAATAATACTGTAGGAAGCTAAACAAGCGTTATTTTAGCCCTATGAGTTCAATCAGGCTCACCTGTGAAAGTCATCATACTAGTAACCAATGAAGTGTAACAATCATGTGACAGAATATCACAACTTATCATCATGAAGTCAACATTTAAGTGCAACTTGTTGCATGAAGAACACATTTTAAAACATGAGAAGATAGCTTTTCAAGAGATCCGTCTTGATTCTGGTTCTTATTATTAGAATTTGAACATTAGATCATTGTGAGATTTTTCCCTCAACACGAAAAAGATTTTGTTAGCTTGACATGTTTTTTTCAATCCACACTGCTGCTACAATTTAAATCTGAACTGCCTAATATTGAATCCCTGTATTGCAGTGTATGTGATGTACATTTACTGAAGTACTGTAGTTAAGTATACATTTGTACTTATGTGAGCATTATCTTTCCATGCTACTTTTTACTTCTACTCCACTACATTTGTTCTTTTTACTCCACTTGAATTACTTTATAAATTTAGATTATTGCATACAACACATATGAAGAGCTTCTAAAATATGTTTTATAATAAATTAAACTACTACAGTACCTACGAGTACATTTATATACAAGTAGAGCTGAAACATTAGGTGATTAATTGATTTGTGGATTAACAAAAAATTAAAAGCAGCTATTTTTTTATTCAAAAACAAATTCATGATTGGTCACAAATGAGAGAATTTTTCTTGTACTTATTTGTTCTTTGGTTGGGCAAAAATCAAACATTGTGAATCAATTACTCAAGAAAATAATCACAACTGAGGCTAAAGTAAAGGATCCTAATTCTTCCTCCACCATTGCTGGACTGTCCGACGGATGAACTCAGGGTATGACCGGCTGATCGATTAGTTAGAGCCGTTACTCTAATCTACATATCGTGTTAGCTTAACTGTGTATAGAACGGTAACAACCCTTCAAATCTCCTCCAGACTTAGCCTTTGAAGAAAGCTACAGACGTTGAGTTTGCAACGCATGACATTTTAGATGATATGAAAGCAGAAGTAGCAGCATCACGTTCTCCACCTCATCATGTGACCATAACCGTTTCCTGGTCATTTGACAGTTTAGGGCCAAGCCCTCCACCTTATCGCAAAGTACACACGATAATGTACACTAACACTTATAGTCTGCAGACAGATTACGACCCACACAGAGTTTCAATATTTACCCCAGATGTCAAACTTAACCAGCAACTAGTTTATAAGCTAGCTATCAACTGTAAGATCAGCTGGCTAATTTAATTGCACTTTATATATACATCAGCTAACGTGTCGTCGTGTTTAGAATTTGCGACATTTACAGCATTTAGCAAAAACTGCCAAAAACCTAAAAAAAAAATATATAGTGTGAGCTAACGTTAGCCGACTAGCTTGAAATGTACAGTAGTAAACGTTACATCTGTATTTAGCCAAGCCAGCTAATGTTAGCCTCGTATGCTAACTAGCCGGGTAGGCAGCAACAACAACCTCTTTCTTGGAACAGTTGACGCATGAAATGTGATTAAACTGCCGTGGCAGCAAAACATGCCAATTACCCGTTCACTGTATGAATTTGACATCAATGTATGAAGCCGTCCGACCTCGAAGAACATCTGTAAAACAGTTGAGGGGGAAAAAAAGCCGACTCCCGGGTACACGAGCAGCCCTGACGAGTCGAGACCTGATCTGAATGCAACTGTTGTGATCTAGAGAAAGGCAAAAGAGGTCACACTCAGAACAATTGATTTGAACATTTTGTTCTCGTGATAAAATCATATTTTTACTGAAGTAAAAGTAGCAAAACTTACGCTGTAAAAATACCCTGTTGCAAGTAAAAATCATTAATCCAAAATATTACTTGTCTTAAAAAATTATCTGACCACATGAATGGACACGACTACACTATTCTGCTTATGTAGTTTACTTGAGTATTCCCATTTTATCCTACTTCATAATACGACTCCACTATATTTTTGAGGAAAATATTGTACTTTTTACTCAATTAATATAAGATAATCCCTTATTAGTCCCGGATTTACAATTCAGAGGGAGGTTTTAAACAAACAAAAATAGGTGTTACAGTTACAGAAAATTAATTTGTCATATGCACAACTATTACAGTGGAGCAGTCATTGGTAATGACATTCTTGTTCTTTGGCTCCCTCAGACAATGCTGTCACGAAATTTATAAAAACATGAGGTAAAAATGAGAATCATAGACATAAAACACAAAATAGTGAAATAAGTGTAAATAGGAATAAGATATGATACAAATATAACACTGTGGGAGACAGTGTTTTTATATACAAGTACACAAGTGGTCAATGTTGTTCAGTTGATCTCCTTCGAAAAAACAAAAAGTTTATCTTTTTACCTGTAAGTTCATGAACATGAAATTAAGCCAACAGAAATAAAAGCTTAGTAATATACAGTTGAGAGTTCAAATGTGTAGATTTTTCAAAAATAAAATCACATTTTCATCAATATCAGTGTTGACAGAAAAAAAAGAAATATATGACTGGTAGAAGAAGAAGAAGAAGTTTCTTATTTTATTTTTTTAAATTAAGTACTAGACATCCTGATCCACACTCCATACCAGCTGGAGGCGGTAATGCACCAATTAATTGTTTGCCAACCGCCAATAAACCTCAAAAAAGAAGAAGAAGAAAAGGTTTTTTTGAGGCATATCGTTTCTGATTGGCCCTTCGCTTCTATTTACACGTCCATGATTGGCTCTTAGCTTCTACGACACGCCCTCAAGCGCATACGCATGCGCGGTAATGTTGCGGACTTTTTGTTTAGGTTCAAAATGGAATCAGACAGCAGCGTCTCAAGCGATGAATTTAGGGTTTTAATGTCATGATGAGCTTACTTTGACCAATACATTCGCCAACAAGGACATTTGTTTTCAAGGCAACATCTACCGCTGGCTAACGTTCAATAACGGTACGTTTTGTGTCCAAATGTTGAGAGTAACGTGTGGACGACAACATAAACAACTTTTTTCGAGGTTGTCAGTAAAGTGAATCACTAACGGCCGCTCTTTGTTAGACATGTGTTTATAAACTGGGATAAGTGTTGATCTGTTACCAACACATAGTAAAGTTAACATTGTGTATAACGTTGAGATTGCTAGAAACGTTAATGTGTTTGACTACTAGGCCCATGCAGGCCACACATCACCCATCAAAACCGACGTTATTACCGTGACATGCTGCGGTGTGTGCTCTAAATCAGTGCTGTACAAAAGCCAACACGTTTGTTTTCTTTCAGGTTATCGATTTCGTCACTCAGTCAAACTCTACACGTTGATCTAGTGATGTTACCTCGGAGGACTATGGCCACTTTAAAGTCCTCCAAGCAGACTTCAGCTAACGTTACAGCATCCAAGATCAAAAGCAAGATCCTCAGTAAGTCTGTCATTCACAAACGTATATTTCTGTAAACTGTACTATTATAGAACAAGCTTTTCTGAGGGAGGAGAACATGTTGAATTGATATTGTGATTTTTCTTTCTTCTTTCATGACCACACCAGACACCTCCTCCTTCTTCAAGGTCTCTCTGAAGACCAACAACAAGGCCTTGGCTCTTGGTCTGCAGGCCCAGAAGGAGAGGGGCAGGCAGCTGGAGATGGAGGTCGTGTACCTTCAGAAACAAGTGGAGGCTCTCTGCTTCGATCTGGCCGCCAAGAATTACAAGCAGAGGAAACTGGTTGGTTTGTTGTTTTCTTCCATCAGTGAAAACCAAGGCCTGTTTTGCAGAACGCATACATTTCTGACCATACAAGTATTGATGACGATGCACAGGCTGTGTCAAACGTGTGCTGTTGGATTTGATGTTTGTTCATCTTGTTTTTCTTTCTGTCCCAGCTCCTCATCTTTAAATCTCTTCGTAGCAACACTCTGGAGCACTTGGACATGGCGGATGAGCTTTTCCCTGACAGTGTAAGGATTACTCTGAAGAAGTATTAACAATCACTGTTTTAGTGTGGCGAGTTTGTGATGTAGGTTTGAGCAAAGTTACACACAATACTAGTACAGCATTATCTTGATTAGACACGAGAACTGTGAACCATGACACGAGTATAGTATTAGTCTATGTCAACGCTTTTCAACCGGATTGTTACAAGATCACTTTTGCAATATAAGTCTCAAGGACAGCAGGATAAATGGTTCAACACACAACAAACAGTCACAAACAGCACCTGAAACAATCACGGGCACCTCAAGTCATATTGACAGTTAAAAACAACTTCCCGCACAATGAAACTTCCTTTGCCTTTTTCTGAATGCCATTACAACGAAACACAAGGTATAAAGAAATAAATACCATAAGATAAATAAAGAACACTGTGTACAATATGCATTCAAACTCCCAGGAAAATTTAAACTTTTTTTTTTTTTAAGCCATTCAATTGGTGGAAAATGCTGGAATGCAGTCTGTACATTATTTACTGACGGAGTATCAATGTTCAGGGGGAGAGAACGTTAGTTATGTACAGCTTTAGCAGGAGACATTTATAAACACAAGTACGAGAGTGTAATTCTCTTCTTGTTGCTTGTGAGGACCAGTCTATTTTTCATTGATGAGATATTCTATAACTCCTGTATTAATGCATGCATGTTGTTTTAAGGTAGAGCAGAGTATCTTCATAGTCAAACACAGACTGGAGGTGACACCCTTAAGATCTCTATTCTGATATAAGGAACACATTTATATCTTTAATTCCCTTGTCAATGGTTCCACTACTGGTACTACTATCAGATTAAAGTCACACATTTATAAGATTGAACGATTGTGACTATTTATTACCAACAGGATCTTTCTGAACCATCTGAGGACAACAAGTCCTCGTCTGGGGACGTCGACAAAGAATGTCTTGCAGTGGGAAGGTGAGCAAATACTGTATTCAGATGAATACTGAAACGTTTTTTCAGTTTGTTAGAAAGCTGTGAATGACATCTGCCATTTCTTTCTTCCCGTCTTGCCCCCCCCCCCCAGCTTAACTCCCATTATTCGTCTCACTGGTCAGTTACCTCCTCCGTTAGAAATAGCACAACATTTGTTACCAGAACCAGAAGTACCAGCGGAGTTGCCTGAAAAAATCATCTCTGCAAATGTCTTCAGTGTCCAGAACCGACCCAGATTGTCGACTGATCTTTCCAATGGTAAGGAGCTTTAGAATTTAACTTCCCTGAGATCCCTGGAAATATGTAATTTCTTTATTGTCCACAACCTCTTTTTCACAGATATTGAGGGAACACATTCAAGCCAGTTTGTACAAGCTCCCCAGACAGGAACGTCCCGTCCGTCCAGCAGCCTGAGGGAGGAAGTAGAGAGGCTGTCAATGATCTTCTCTCAATCCGGGTTCGATATGAAGTCGGTTCACTGTCTTCAGAACGGCCAAACCTCCTCAGCAGTGAGCCCGTGTGTAAAACCCAAGCCATCTCTTTCTGGTGACGTCCCCCTTCCCAGTAGCTCAGACAAGGAAACCGAACCAGAACCCGGTAAGAAACAAGAGAAGACCGTGCTTCTGAATACCACGATGGAGATGACGCTCAGCAATGCCGCTGAGATAGTCACTGTGGAAACCAAGGCCAAAAACACCGGCAAGCTGAAACGCAAGAAGAATAAGGAACACGGCTGTGGGTCGAGTGGAGCTGAAAAGCCACAAGTACAGAACTCTGCAGATGCTCCCACCGGCACTTTGTTACCGACAGATGGGGATGTATTAGATGATATTAGAGACCCAGAGGTTGAGCTTCAGCCTACCAAAACACAGAGTAGGAGTGTTGCTCCCTCTCTCATTCCCAAACTGATGAAGTCCGAAGCTGTCAAGCGTCAGAAAATGCCGAAGGAACAATTCAAGTCTCGTGACCATACCAAGTCAAAAGCAGCGTCCCAAGACATTGCCACACCAGACCTGGACGATTATTTCATGGATCCTGAAATTAAATTCCCCAAATCCAGCAAAGGTGTAAAATTACCACCAGGGAATGATTCAGTAGAAGAAGTCAGTTCCAAAGTCACATGCAGGAGGTCCCGGACCAAAGGCAGGAGGGCATCTTCGGTCACCCGGAAAACGTTCGTCGCTTTCCCTCCGCTCTCTCATGAAAGTGAGTCAAGTTGGTTCAAAGTTAAAGAGGTCCACGATGAAGTTGAAGGACGCAAAGTCCAAGAACCGTCCGAAGAGTTCCCGTTCTGTGCAGATGAGGTCACACACCCGGAGTCGGAACATGTGGGCATTAAACCGCAGTGCAAAATGAAGGCTAATCCTGAGGGAGGTCAGAAATCAAGATGCAGAGGGACATTTGTGGTCAGGGATAGCACCTCATCAACTAGAGCGTCGCAGGACTTAATGCCTTCTACGGGATCCTCCATCTGTGAGGAAGAAGAACCGTCAACGGTCATGGATGCAGGTGTCGTTCTGAAAGGTTCAGAATCAAACCCACACAGGCAGAGTTTGAGAGCCCCTGTCAGGGAAACACCGAGCCCCTGTAAGCGTCCTTGGCTGGCCACTCTGCATTCAGGAGGCCTTCAAGAGAATTTGCGCAGCGGCAATAACCACGACGCAGCTCCGCTGGATCAAGACTGCACTTCGGAAGCAGAGTTTCAGACGCCTAAAAAAGCCAAGAGAGAGGAAATGAGTCGAACCTATAAGAAGAAAGCCGCTCAGAGGGAGGAGAGCGTCGATCATTCAAATGACAGGAAGAAGAAGAAGAAAAGTAGGCGAAGCAACATAAGATTTAAACCCGAGGATGAAGGATGTCCTCGCGGTGATGCCTCACCTCTCCGTGGCGTTGATGGGCCTGAAAGGAACAAAGAGCAGTTAGATGATTTCCAAGTGGTTGACTCACATTCTGACAACAGTGAAAAGGGTGACATCTTTGAACATTTCTACGATTCACATCCCAACGGGTCAAAGTCAAGGATGACTCAGAATCTAAAACGATATAGAAAGACATCTACGCTGCAGACGACCACAGAGGGCAGAAATTCAAGGGAAACGGTTGTCTACAGGCGGAAAACTCAAGACAATGTTCCACAAGGCGACACGCGGACGTCTAATGTGTCACACAGACGCACAGTGGACCTGCTGACTGACGAGACGCCGCCGTGGCTGGACATGTACGTCAGCATGGCCGACACTGAGGCCGGCTCCTTGCTGGCTAGTCCCAGGAGGGAGACGTCGGGCAGAGTGGCAGTGATTGAAGAGTCTGCTGATGTCACAACCAAAGCCTCTCCAGGTGTGCTATTCATTGTTATGTCTTTTTAAAAAAAAATGTCTACCTTGATGAGAAGCGAAGACTGTTTGTCTTCTGGTGTGAAATTCATTTAGTTGTTGATCTGCAGTGCCGGCGTCGTTAGACGGCAGTTATCTTGAGGGCAAAAATAGTCATTAATTAATGAGTGAATGAAGTTCTTGGTCGTGTTTGTTTTTGTAGTACTAAGTTCTCCGTGCACTCTAAACACAAGTAGGCCTACATGTATTATGTGTTAGTGAGCTATGTCATATTACTGTCATGTCTTTCCTTTGGCTACAAATGTATTTTAATTGGCTCTAGAACATGAGGGAGCGGTGCACTCCAGCCACCTTGTGTGGTTGGAATCAGTATTACAACAAACACTTCATCCTGACTAAAGAAGTCACCTGACACTTTGTTTCACCGCTTTTATAGAAGCATAACCGTGCCAAAACACCTGTTTCACAGATTAAAAAAAAAAGAGATTTGAGGAACTTAGGTTATCCTGCCAAAGCCCCTTTCACCTGTTCAGTCATAAGCAGGAGAGAGAACCATTTAGAACTGTTATGGTCTGGCTCTAAAACCATAGCAAATGATGCTAATCAGGCAAGGAATGAACTAAACAAAGACTTTTATTTAACAAAAGGTTCGGATAATTTACCAAATGCTGGCAGGCAAACATGCTGCCAGGTCGCCTCAGGTAATCTTGAGACCAAAACATCCAGCGTAGCACCAGGTGTGTCAGGAAGGAAGAAGTCCTCTCCCCCAGGATGGGGCGGGTCTTATAGGCTGAAGGCAGTGGCCAGCTGCCTCCAATCTGCTTGATGGCCTCACGCTCCAACCAACCAGGAACACTGAAAGACAGACACAGCAACACAACACACACAAGTCCCGGCAGAGGCCCGTCACAGAACTGACTTTAAAAAATGGATCAGCAGAATTTCTTCCTCACTTGCCTCTCAGTAATATAAAAACAGAGTTCCTTTTGTTGAATGAGCCTTAAAAGACGACTTCATTCTGATTAATTGTGTTGCAGCAGGCAGAGTCTTAACACTGACCAACACCAACACCATTCGAACCCCCGGCAGTGAGAACGGCGGGAGGTCCAGGAGAGGAAAAGTTGTCGTCAGTTATAAAGAGCCGACCCTCAACAGGTGAGTACATCTCGTCTGTGATCTGTTGTTACAGCACCCATGTACCGTGCATCCAGGAAGTATTCACAGCGCTTCACTTTTTTCACATTTTGTTATGTTACAGCCTTATTCCAAAATGGATTAAATTCATTTTTTTCCTCAAAATTTGACACACAATATCCCATAATGATGATGTGAAAAAAGGTTTTTTGAAATTTTTGCAAATCTATTAAAAATGAAAAAATCCCATGTACGTAAGTATTCACAGCCTTTGCCATGCCGCTCAAAATTGAGCTCAGGTGCATCCTGTTTCCACTGATCATCCCTGAGATGTTTCTACAACTTGATTGGAGTCCACCTGTGGTGAATTCAGTTGATTGGACATGATTTGGAAAGACACAAACCAAGCCATGAAGTCCAAGGAACTGTCTGTGGACCTCGGAGACAGGATTGTATCGAGGCACAGATCCGGGGAAGGGTGCAGAACAATGTCTGCAGCATTGTGTAAAGCTTGTAGCATCGTACTGAAAAAGACTTGAGGCTGTAATTGCTGCCAAAGGCTGCGAGTACTTATGTACATGTTATATTTTCATTTTTAATAGATTTGCAAAAAATTCAAAAACTTTTTTTCACGTCATCATTATGGGATATTGTGTGTAGAATTTTTGAGGGGAAAAAAATGAATTGAATCCATTTGGAATAAGGCTGTAACATAACTAAACGTGGGAAAAGTGAAGCGCTGTGAATACTTTCCGGATGCACGGTACACCAGGAAACAGCAGCGAGTAATCGACTCTATTTCTTTTATTTCACTTTTTTGAAACAGCAAAATGAGGCGTGGCGACAAATTCACCGACAGCGAGTTCCTGAGTTCTCCCGTGTTCAAGGACGGGAAGAAGAAGAAGAAGACGACGACAAAGAAGAAGATCAATCCAAAGTTGGAGAGATCCATTCTGGCGGACTTCTCAACTGACTGATGATTATTATGGTTTTATTTTAAGTTGTTTTCTTAGTCAAACATATGTTTTGTAGATGTAAACTAGTCTGTGTTTTTAAAAACACTTGTTTCCAGTAATGTCTGGCTGGTGAAGGTCTAAGAGATCGTTGGTCATGAATTATTCACTCCAGGCGGTTCATCTGAGAAGTCTCTTCCACATCACTGTTGACGGCTTGTGTTCAGAGAGCTTTCCATATTCAGAGCAGCATGACTGCAGCTCACCGCGTGTAAAGGTTCTATGTCGGCTCGTTTACGTTCCACCAGATGTGTGGTGAGTACGGATGCGTGTGTGTAAAATTAGTTTTAAATATGCCACTGATTATTGTTGTCTGCACATTAAAAAAAATTTAAAATATTCCTTTTATTCAGTTTTTGATTTGTTGCACACAGCTGTTTTACCACTAGTTACAGAGATAGTTTTTCTTAAGGTGTGTGTGTGTGAGTGAGAGAGAGACACACACACACACACACAAGGTGTCAGGTTCACGTCCTGACTATGCAGCAGTTAATTAACCTTATTTTTACTTTAATGTTACACGTCACTCATTCCAGTCATCGTGGTAATGAAGAGTAAATTGTACTTTTAAGAAGTAATTCAATATTTAGATGTTTTTGACAGGAGTAGTACATGAAGGGATTTCATTCACGAAATGGAGGCGAGGCAGCTGAAGAGAGACGTTGAGGCGCTCATGTGAGTGGATGTTAAAAGCTCAGAGATCGTTGGAAAAAGCACATTTTAAAATGCCAACTGATTCTTTTTTTTATTTCTAATCGGAACAGAGGTGATTACATTGGGCAGAAACTCAGAGAGAAATCTTTTGATCCAAAGGGGAAGGGGACCTCCACAATGCTGGATGACCTGGTAAAGACACATTAAAACACGTCGTCACAACTGTGACTCTGAGTTAACTGCTAACGTCAGTTGATGGAAGACACAGAATTCAGAGGCAGAGCTGCACAAACATTATTTATACTGTATATACTAATCATTGCAACCATTACTTGAGGATTGAGTTGCTGTGTATTTCATTTGTTCCAGGCTCACTATGACCTGGCTATTGGTGTCGCCCTTTGGTGGTTGGACAAAGACGAGGGACGGGATGTGCTTGATGGAGACATCATGTAAGCTGCTCCTGTTTTTATAGACTCAAGTTACACCAACGTAGAGGTGGAAGACTCTGATCTTTCTAGTAAAAGTAGTAATACCTGAGTGTATTCCTCTGAATATCAGGTGTGTTGGAACGAGCAGATTTGTCGTACTGTGTGGGAGACGAGTGGAAATTAAAAATGTATGATGTTCAGCAGCACCAGACGGGCTTATGTTGCTATATTTAGACACAGGGCTCATGGCCGGTCTGTGGCAAAAGTGAACAAGGGGACAAGGGCCCCTCCATCTCCTGGGGGCCCCTAGATATAAATACTTGACTGGTTGCTAAATGAAGCATTCCTCTCTACCACAGTGGAGCAACGAGCAGCTCAGGAGGTGCTCGGTATCCTAATCGCTTAGAACGGGAGGCCATGATCCTGTCGTCCTTTGCCGGGATAATTATGGTATGAGACAATGTCACCAATACACAAATGCAGCTTTTGTTAAAGGGACAGTGTGTAGGATCTGGTGACAACTGAATACCCCTCCGCTCACTCCTACTCGTCCAAGATTGTGGTAACGTGAGCATCTGAGTGCAAAACCGTGGGAGAACTATGGTGACCTTCATTCACGTAACATAAAAACGTGAAAGTCTCTCTGTAGGGCCAGTGTTTGGTTTGTCCATTCTGGGCCACTGTAGAAACATGGTGGACTCTGTAAAGAGGACCCGCTCCCTATGTAGATATGAAGGACTCATTCTGAGCAAACGACAACACAATTCTTAGTTTTAGGTGATTATAATCTTGTGAAAACCTAGTTATGAATATCATATTCCATTTCTCTTAATAGATCCCCAAAATGCTTCACACTGGCCCTTTAAATCCTGATGTCCCAGCCAAGTTACATACCTTCAATTTAAAAAAAAAAAAAAAAAAAGTCCAATTTGCCAGTTGCTAACCTTTGCAGCATTTTCCTGCTTCAGAGTAGCCTCCCAGTGGAGGAGATCTTGGCTCTGTACAGATGTAGACCAGCTGCTTCATACCCGAACCAGCAATCCAAGGTGCCAGTATCCTGACTGTCTCAAAACAGACGAAATGAAACCAGTATACATATAATTATATTGTACCCATTTGTATTTCATAATTTCGGTGGTGTATAAATGTGATATGTTTTCATCCTAGGGCACAATCGTGTATCCCTTCACCCTGTCCTACCATCCGTTTGCAATGCTCGGCTCTTACAAGGCTGTTTACCACTCAAAGAAGCACAGTAAGTGTGTTTGTGACAAGTTATAGCCAAACAATGCCGACTCCTACACGTGTGTGTGTGTGTGTGTGGTTTAAACTCCGCAAACAGAACAAAGACATTAAATCAATTATGTCAACAGAGATTGTGTGCGATAATAAAAGTCAATCAAATGATAAGTAAGGAAAGTCACTGTTACACACACACACACACACACACACACACACACACACACACACACACACACACACCACAGCTGAAGTCAATAGTTGTGTCAAAAATCTCTCAAAGGTCAAAAGTTGAAGCGATGGCTGTCTGAGAGGATGAAGGCGAGCGCCCCGCCTGGACGAGTGCCGGTGAACTCTTCGTCATCTTCCTCCTCGTCTCACTCCTTCCTCAGTGTGAGTCATTTATTTTGCTTGTCTGTCTTTTATCAGGGAAAGGAAATCTGAACATGATCTAGACTGAATCTTGTTTCATGTGTTTCTTTGAAAGACCTCTACTGCCCCCCTGTGGACGTAAACAGACATGATTATCTAACACCCTCTCTCCTCTCTCTCTCCTCTCTCTCTCCTCTCTCTCTCCTCTCTCTCTCTGTTAGGACAACAGTGATCATCATCAGAAGAGAGCTGAGCACTATGAAGGTTCACTGGAGTCTCTGCACGACTGAACTCTCCTTCCTGCAGTTTGATTTTGTCCTCTCGATGGACTTTACATCTATTTTCTTGAGGAAAAAAGTGTTTGAGTACAATAGTTTCTCGCGTCTGCTGTCTTTTCTTTAAGAGTTCACTTGATACTGTCACACTGACGATCTTTAAACGTCAGTCTCTGCAGATCGATTATAACTTTCAGTATTCTGAGGCAGTTGATAAAGACGTTGTTTGTGATAATGACATTAAAGTGTTGGTGGTTGTGGCTGATAATCTGTTGTCCAGTGTTCAGTATAAACTAATATATGATGATACTCATTGAGAGTAAAAGACGACACATCTGACATGAAACTTGATGAATGCTGTTTGATAATGTCTTCATAATTTTTTCCAAAAATAACCCAAAATATCTCAAATTCCAAAGTGTTATGCCAATAACATTTACCTAAACTAATAACTAACACATACTCTACATAAGTATTTTCATTTTCTGCAACTTTATACAAACATTGTACAGACATTTTTAAGTTTTGGTACTGCATCTTGATTTAGTAAACCACTAGTTTGAAACTAGTTAGTAGTTACTAAGATGTTAAGATCTGTGTTCAACTGTAGTAATTTAAATGTATAAATAGCTGCTGCAACCCAATCCACATGATTAATCATGAATAACATTACAGCTCGACTGTTTTCTAACACACAGATATTCACATTTTCTATCAAGTATTACGATTTTCAGCTCCCACACTTTCAAATTCCAACAAAGACCGTGTTGTTTTGTGATGACCTCTGACATTCTGCGTGGAAAGATTACTCCACTTGCTGATGGATTAGCGGATTAAACGCCCCCATGCTGATGTGCATATCAATAAAGAGGGCACAGTGGGTCAGTAATTTGCCTGGTAGGACTTTTGCATTGATGATTCAGGGATTTCTGTTCTATGGCCAGGATCAAGACCGTTGGCAGCGATGCCAGCGCGTTAAATCCCCGCTCATTGAAAAAACAGCTCAAGTGGGATCTGCTATCCCTTTGATTGAGGTTTATATAGCGGGGCTCTGGGGCTGCTTTGTGAGACCAACATTTCCCGAAGGTGACCGGCTCCAACACTCTTTGCAGGATGAGTAGTAAGGTAAGTGTACGTAATGATACTCATAAACCTGGTGGCAAATGTTGGTCAGACTTGTAATTGCAAATCTCTGTCTGTTTTGCCATGAAATGGTTAAAATGTAAGAGGAAGACTTGATATATTAACTCACCCACACTGGGCTTTATGTTGAAGAAAATCTGCATGCAGGAAAAAATATGTTACGTTAGATAATTTCCTGTTCATACAGCAGGGACACGATGCAACAAACGCATATTTAGAATAAAATGTTCCTTATCGGCATAACCATAAACCTTGCAGGATGTGCAAAGTTTACAATGTAAATATAAGATGTCAAAGGTGTCAGTGTTTGAGGATTGTTATTGTGCACTGCCTCTGTTTTCTCTCCCGGACTCAGATCACATTTTATGAGGACAGAAACTTCCAGGGTCGCTCCCATGAGTGCGACACCGACTGCCCTGACATGCACCCCCACTTCAGCCGCTGCAACTCCATCAAAGTGGAGAGCGGCTGCTGGGTTCTGTATGAGAAGCCCAACTACACCGGCTACCAGTACGTCCTGACCAGAGGAGAGTACCCGGACTACCAGCGCTGGATGGGCTACAATGACACCATCCGCTCCTGCCGAACCTTCTCCTATGTGAGTAAACATTCTGATTCACATATTTAGTTTTTGTGAAGTGTGAAGACCTGAAGTACCACGATGAAGAGGAATGCATGCTCCTTGGTGCTGTTTTGTAAGAGCTCTCCAAACAGTAACTATGTTAAAATTAATTAAATAAATATGATTTAGATATGTTTCATTAAGATACATGAAAAAATGTTTTGTGTCTGAGAAGCAACTTGTTATTAATGTGTGTTTGTTTTTAAGTCCCTAAATCCGTTTTAATTTATTTCGTGTCATAAGGTAAAGACCAATAAATACAAATCCTCCCCACAACCATAAACTTCCACAAGATACTAAACTAGATGGAATTAAATGATGTGTCTCCATTTCATTTGCAGAATAAAATAAAATCAAGTTGGAGAAAAAATTGGGAAAAATATAATTTATGATCAGGTGTTAAATTCCAAATTTAAATGTTAATCTCAGGCAAAAGAATGAAGGATAATCATTAGTAGATTCAGGACAAAATAAGACATCTCAGACACACATGGAGGGCTCCTGATGCATTGATGCACTTCCTGTTCTAACGCTGTACTTCACTGTGTTCCTCCAGACCAGCGAGGGCCCCTACCGCATGCGCATCTACGAGCGCCCCAACTTCCAGGGTCAGATGATGGAGTTCAGCGAGGACTGCGAGTCGGTGCAGGATCATTTCCGCAGCCGTGACATCTACTCCTGCAACGTCATGGAGGGCTACTGGACCTTCTACGAGCACCCCAACTACCGCGGCCGGCAGTACTTCATGAGGCCCGGAGAGTACCGCAAGTTCAGTGACTGGGGGGCCACCTGCGCCACCACCGGGTCCTTCCGAAGAATCACAGAGTTTTAATCTGGAATCTCACTCGATGCTGTTGATTTTATATGCATTTCAATTCTCAACCCTCTAAAACACATTTATTTATGCTAAAGTTAATAAAATATGTGGTACAGTAATGGAGGGGGAAAGAGATTGACCCTGCATGTCAACAGGAAATCATTATAAAAAACTTAATAAATGAATCTATTGAATCAATTTTTTCTTTGTTTGTGAATAAATATTTTGGTATTGACTGATTTAACTCATGAAAAAGCCATCTGGTGCAGAAAAATCAAACACACAGTAGTATAACTATTATTATTTTGTTACTATTGTATTTATTGACCTATGTGTGAACACAAGCGCCACATCAGCACACATAATATAAAATAACACAAAGGATTCGAGGAGAGATGCACCGATCTGATACCGATATCCTGCCGATGCTGACTCAAATAGCTGGATCGGTTATCGGTGACAATGGGGACGATCTAATTAAATTCTGTGTTTACGTCTGATTACATGTGCGTACGTCGTGTGTCAGCAGCACGCATGGTGGGCCGCACAGCTGAACATGTCACCTCTTCGGAGGAATTTCACGCTTGCTACTGCAACAAGTTCCTGGTGCACGATTTACTATTCATATAATTATTTATAAAATGAATTAACACCTCAGTAAATTGATATCTGCGGGTTTACATTTTGTTTACAAAGTTTGGAAAACAATGTTTAAGTCAAGCCTGATGCAGCCAGTGTTCCCAGTCACTTCCCCACTGTGAGGCATACAGATTATTGATTACACACTGGTATCACATCGGAACTCTGTATCGGCTGATACCCAACGCTCAGGTATCGTTATCGGGCCTGAAAAAAGTCAGATTGGTGCACCCCTACTGTAGAATACAGAATTTTCAATATATTTTTTGATTATATTTGCTTTTTAAAATAAGCATTGCTCGATTGTAAGATTCACATTGTGGGACGTTCAAATAATTTATGTATTTTCTTGTATTTCGCTCTGCCAGTCACATTCCTACAGCCTGAATGACAGAAAGCATCTATAGAGATAATGGGGCTACTATTCCCTCCATTCATACAGTACAGAACATATTTATAAAACACTGTTTATGGTTATTTACTCTAATATCTATCTCCCCATGTTTACATATGTTTTTAAAGTTTCTTATAAACTACATGAATACACCGAATCCATTTAAAGCAAACAGAAGATGGGCGAAAGAGCTCGGCATTGACTGTTCCAGCGCCTGTCCACGCTGTGGCTCGTGCTAGAAGCTGCACAGTGTCTGTTAACCCTAACAGAGGACATGACAAACAGGAGTAGGGAAGACTCCTGTAGGGTCTCTGCTGACACCAGGCCCCCACTTGAATAACAACACACACACACACACACACACACACAGCTGCTCTCACGGGGCAGACATATAAAGATGGGCTCTACCTTTGGTGGTCAAAAAAACAAACAAGCACAGGAAGCAGTTTGAGCAACAGCAGCAGCCATCATGGGAAAGGTTTGTGTTTACTATACAAATGTCCAACGAGTGTACCTCAGGCTCTGTGAGTCGTTGAGATTGAACAAATGATTTAATCTGCTCCATCAGATTATCTTCTACGAGGACAGGAACTTTGGAGGCCAGCACTATGAGTGCATGAGCGACTGCGCCGACCTGCACTCCATGTTCGACCGCTGCCGCTCCATCCGGGTGGAAAGCGGCATGTTCATGATCTACGACCGCCCCGGCTTCATGGGAACCCAGTACTTCATGAAGAGGGGAGACTACTCCGACTACATGGGCACGGCGGGCATGAATGACTGTGTCAGGTCGTGCCGTATGATCCCCATGGTGAGGCCTTCTGTAAAACAATGCAGAAACACACAACATATCTATGTAGCAAGGACTGCTCATTCAACTTTTGGCAAAAAAAGGGGTATTATATAGGATGGTGCTGTTTTACCAGCACTCCCATCAGTTTCTTAGTAATTAACACATTATATCTTTTGATTAGCACATGTTATTGACTGTTTTCTGAGGTGTGTCATGGTGACTAGCGATGGTGACTTTTATTGAAGCATAAATGTCTTCTGAGTCGCGTTTGTAAAGCAGGAACACTTGATTTTTGTTGACCCTCTGACCTGCCTGCCTGCAGCACAGCGGTGGCTACAAGATGAGGCTGTACGAGCATTTCGACATGGGAGGTGAGATGATGGAGCTGACCGACAACTGCCCCAACCTCATGGACCGCTTCCGCACATCCAACTTCAACTCCTGCAGCGTGATGGACGGCCACTGGCTCATGTACGAGCAGGCGAACTACAAGGGACGTCACTACTACCTGAGGCCCGGCCAGTACAAGAGCTTCAACGAGTGGAGCGGCAACAACTCCAGGATCGGCTCCATCAGGCGGCTCATGGATCTCTAAAAGACAGCAGAACGGTCCTTGTGAAGTGTCTCCTCTTTGCCTTGTTTCACACACTGAATAAAATGGCGTCAGTGCTCACTTGTATTCTGTTTTGTTCTTGCTCTCTGCGTTTGGAGGGCATGTTTTCTCATGAGGATGTGACGGGGTCATGGCCTGACGTCCTGACTCTCATCAGAGGCCTGAATAAAATCCTGCAAGTGTTGACTTATAACACAGAGAGTCGAGCGTTATCTATTGTAGAGCTGAAGGGAAGTCTGTCTGCCCGTCCCCCTCTCACACTTTTCATTGACACGTAATAAAAGAATAAAATAAATTATAATACTGAAACCTGTCCTCGGCAATCCCACCACAAGGTACATACATTTTAACCTCTATTTTCCTCTAACAACTGGGAAACTTCCACCTGCCGATGACGACCATGTGACATGATCGAAAGCTCCAGAATATCTCCTAAATGCACCTCGTGGTGAGACGGTTCTCTCCACCTTTAGATTTAGTTTACTGTGTATGTGTATTTATCCGGACCGACACGGACCTGTCCACCAGAGGGCAGTGGTAGAGAGTTCAAATTATAGATGACACAAGATCGAACTAACATGCTGTTGACATAAAAGAGACACAAATTCTCTAATGAAACTAATGTGAGAATTACATTTAGCAACACCATCATCTTCAAACACATCTTCCAAATGAAATACAATTGGTACGTTTGCTGTTTAAGACTTTATCAACAACTATATAGGAGCTTTGAATAATAATGTTATCTGAGAATATTACATTTCGCAACACATTACTCTAAAAACTAAAGCAAACTAAATATAACGAAGTGGTGTAATGTGAATAAAATCTACACTTTGGAAATAGTTCTGATAAAAAAAAGCTTATCTGGAAACGAAGGTCTCTACTTAAAGCTAAAGAGGTGAAATAGAATAAAATAAAACTCCACTGGTGCCAGAAATCATCCGACCATGAGCAGCTTTGATGACAGCATAAAGAAAATAAAAGACCATCCAAATGCAGGGGTGGTACAAACCACCCATTCAGTGACGACAAAGAGTTCAAAAACACACCAGATCAACCCCAAACAACCTGTCAGCTCTCACCTGTACGTAACCTGCCCTAAACGTCTCATCAGGGGGACACTGCGGCACAAATGCCAAAGATTCCTGTCTATTACAATATGAATGTCGCCTGCAGAGTCTGCATTTCACATGCACTATATATGGGACAGGTGGGAGTCTTCAGAGAGCTGGATGGAGCACACAGGACAAGGCACGTTCATGGCGGGCCAACGGGCCTACATGGGGAAGGTAAACATCACAGCTCCCAGGAGGGCAGGGAAGGGGACGACAGAACACTGTTTATGTTGATGTGGTGACGGGAAATGCTTTTATTGTGAAGTGAACAAAGGCCAACAGGCTTTTCTTTTGAATTCTTGAGTTTGTTTTTTTAAAAGAGAAGAAAGTGGATTCAAAACATGAATATACCCAGAAAAAATGTTAATTACTCATAAAAATGTACAGTATATTTCTTTGTCTTTGCAGCGTGATCAATGAAAAAATATTTTTTAAATCAATTTCTAAACAAAAGCCATTATAATTTCTGTGTCTAGATTATCTTCTATGAGGACAAGAACTTCTCTGGGCGCTTTATTGAGTGCAGCAATGACTCTGCGGACCTGGCGTGCCTCCTCAAACACTGCAACTCCATCAGGGTGGAGAGCGGCTGCTTCATGATCTATGAAAAATCCAACTATGATGGGAACCAGTACTGCCTGAGGAGAGGAGAGTACCCCGACTGTCATCACTGGATGGGTGCCAACGACTCTGTCTGCTCCTGTCGCCTCATCCACATGGTGAGCTCCTGTTTCTGGGAACTTGTATAGTTTTTTACAGAAAACGCAAATGTATGCATGTTTCCATCCACTACTATTATTATACCGTTTGTCAGGTGGAAACCTCTCGTTCTGAAGAGTGAAACCGATTCTGAAGTGCCTAAAACTTGCATTCTCTCTAGTGTCCACCAGGGGGCGACTCCTCTGGTTGTATAGAAGTCTATGAGAAAATGACTCTACTTCTCTCTTGATTTATTACCTCAGTAAACATTGTAAACATGAGTTTATGGTCTCAATCTCTAGTTTCAAGTCTTCTTCAATACAGCATGATGTTCATTTAGTACATTATGGTCCATTTAGAGTCAAACAGACCATAAAGCAGGGGATGCTTTAGGGCGGGGCTACACGGTGATTGACAGGTCTCTACCAGGTCTAAATGCCAAACTCGAGGCTACGTCCACTTCTTTTTATACGGTCTATGGTCAAACCTCAAATGGTGGGAAAATAAATGGCATTTATGTTTGTATTATCAAATAGAGTAAGCTAACAGTCTCGTAATGACTTCACACAGATCTGATTCATCATAGAGTGCTGCAGGGATGACTTTTATTTTTAGTTAGATAAAGGAAAAGAAAATCAATCCTCTGGGGACCATGAACACGATTAATGATGGTTCACCTACTTCTGTCTGGACCAAAGTGGCGGATCAACCAGCCATATATTACTATGAAAATAATGAACTACAGCTATATTGTAAATAAGCCCAAAGTATATTGTCTCTGAGTGTTTTACTCAACAATTCCTCTCTCTCATGTAAAACCAGGAGCCGTCGTTCAACATGCGCCTGTACGCGCGGATTGAGTTCGGAGGTCAGATGATGGACCTGGCGGACGACTGTCCCAGCGTCAAGGACCGCTTCCACGTGAACGACATCTTCTCCTGCAACGTGACCGATGGCAACTGGCTCTTCTATGAGCACCCGGACTACCGGGGCAGGATGTACCTGATAAAGCCTGGAGATTACAAGAGGTTCAGTGAGTGGGGCGGCAGGAGCGCCAGGGTCGGCTCCATCAGACGTATCCTGGACTATTGATCTGTTTTTGGAGGATCCCAGAGCTGCATGGAGGTTTTTGGAAAGGCTTCATGCTCAGACAATGACCTACAAGACTATATAGAAAGTACAAAATACTGAAAAGCTTTTGAATTATTAATCAGAATTAGAATGGTTGACTCCCTGATATTAGGGTGGACTTACGGCAAAGCACTCACCATGCACCAAGAGCACAAACAGCAACAACAAAATGTAATATAAATAATAAAACTATTGCAAAATGGAGTCTTCATAGTCCATTCAGTTGTGAGCAGGACCTCAGACATTTAAAAAACACAGCGCAAGTTTTGAATACTGATTAAAAGATGTTTGTAAATCCTTCATATTCAGTAGCATTTATTCTACCTCAGATATTATGTTATAACGCATGTCTGCTCCAGATGAAACAAAAATACATAATTTGTTGATAGAATGTACAGATTGTCATTTGTCGGCCCCAATAAATTGAAATTAAATCTCGCTGATGCCGTGCAGTCTCTCAGTCTATTGTACAGTAGCCTTTTCTGGGTGTGTGTGTGTGGGGGGGGTTGTGATGAACATGGAGGAAAGAACAATTACTCATCACACACCAAGAGTCATCTATACATAAACAGATTTTTCCCATCAGCCCCTCCCCCTCTGATCCATCATCACTGTGAGGGATATATTTGAATGACAATACTTTGTGCTGTGCAATCACACAGCCGCCCTTTCTTTCTTTCTTTCTTTCTTTCTTTCTTTTTTTATAAAGCGCAGTGGCTTGGCTCAGGGACAGCATTGACCGCTAATACAGTCTGATGCCAACATGGGAAAGGTAAAGAAAATGACTTTCCTACACACCTGTATTTTATTCAATAATTATTTTGAGTTTTTCGAGCCTCTGCTCGACTAGACATCCGCAGCTCTGTGTTGAATTTGTACGTGTGTATGCAATGATTGCTTTTGCAGATCATATTTTACGAGGACAGAAACTTCCAGGGGCGCTCTCATGAGTGCAGCAGCGACAGCGCCGACCTCCACTCCTACTTCAACAGATGCAACTCCATCAGGGTGGAGAGCGGCTGCTTCATGATCTATGAGAGGCCCAATTACTTGGGCAACCAGTACTACCTGAGGAGAGGAGAGTACTCCGACAACCAGCGCATGATTGGCATGAACGACTGTGTCAGATCCTGCCGTATGATCCCCCAGGTCAGCCAGAAGGACTTTGCCTGAGATTCTGTTTAAAGATGTTGCGAAAAATAACCCTTATGGACCAATTTTATTTTCATTCTTTTGCTGTTAAGTGCTGGTTTTCAGTCGGTAGTGAAGTATCTGAGTAGTGAGACACTTGAAAGCTCTTAAAATAAACCAGTGAGAGATATTATTGTGCTGCACACAGTAACAAAGTTTTTTTTTCTGTTAGCACCGAGGCTCCTACAGGATGAGGCTCTACGAGCGCTCCGACATGTCCGGCCAGATGCACGAGGTGGTGGACGACTGCCCAAATGTCCAGGACCGCCTCAGCATGTCCGACTTCAACTCCTGCAACGTGATGGATGGCCACTGGCTGCTGTACGACCAGCCCAACTACAAGGGCAAGTCGTACTACCTGAGGCCCGGAGAGTACAGGAGATACAGCGACTGGGGAGGCGTCAGCCCGAGGGTCGGCTCCCTCAGAAGAATCTCTGACTTGAACTGAAGTCCGGCTTCAATTCAATGCATCTTTCCCTGAGTTTACCTGTCTGTTTGCACAATAAACTGCTTCATTGAACATTCACGTTTTTTTTCTGTGTATCTGCCAGTTCTCATAATCTTAAAAGTCTAAATAAGGATTAATTTCTACAAAGCGTTATTAACATTTTGTAATGTAACTATTTATCCAACATAGCTCCTAGTTAGCTTCTACACTGTAGTTTAATCTGCTCTATGCTTAGGCAAAAATACCAAACAATGCACGAGTTGCCCTCTCCCACTCTGTGATTAGCTGGTCTCTATGCTGGCAGCATTTATCCATATGATTAGTGTTAGACACAAAACGGCATAGAAAGACTAGCAGGACAGAGTGAGACAGGAAACTAACATGAACATGTGAGCTGAATGTCACTAATGCAATGAGATGAATAGTAAAAGATCAGGTTGGATCTGGTAAAGCAGGAAACAGGCGCTGTTTCAAAGTTATATATAACAAATAGTAGAAGCGCACATTGTGAATGCACAGCATGAAAACAATAATAATAAAAAACAAACACTCTTATAGTTTTACCAAATGCGAAATAAAAATAAATTGACCGATAGGATGAATGTCAAATAACAACATGTAACTACTAGATCTTTAATATGTCTTTTATAAATACACCAATAAATTATGAGAATCATACATTTTCACTTTACGATCGTCTCAATGTTAAGAAATAGAAACAGAAATGTAGCGTAACAGTTAAAAGACAAAAATTGTTTCTTTGAAAAACATTAATTCCCAGAAAATGTACTTTCTGCACACCAGAGATAAACATTTTATGTGAAAGTATCTCTCACTTTTTACAACTAAATAATATTCAACAATGATATCAAACATCAGTGACAAACTTGATAACATTTAAACATACATTTTAAGATTTTCATAACTAATACTACACTACAGGTGTATGTTTATATACAGGGTGAAAGTTGAAAGAGAAAGTTTATAGTCTCTCTAGTTATAAAGTTCATTAAAAGTTAGTTATTCTTTTGAGACGGATAATCCTCAGATACCAAATTGTGATGTAATAAATATATAAATATATTCCCTGTAGTAGAATCATTTTACATAGTTAGACAAACACAACCTATGGAGAACACAAATGTCATTAAATAAAATAAAAGTCAACCATTACTAAATCTGGAATAACAATTAAGACCACGTACTCATTTTACAGCGTTATATTTTAATATTAAAGGGGGTGTCTTCACAAAAGCCAAACAAAAAAAGCTGTGATACATGAAGGGAATTGTAGTCCATTAAGTCAAAACTGTCAGCTGATAGAAGAAACATGCTGTTCTACACCTGAATCTGGGGGTAAATGTGGTATTTGTACATGAGGTAAAAGATAGGTTTATAGTACATTATAACAATGAACAAACTAAGAAAATCTTTACGTCCACTTACAGCTGCATCCCGACCAACAACATGGTGTACACGTACTTATTAGCATACAGTGGGGCTGCTCAGGTAGAGCGTTAGGGAGAGTGAATACCTTCCTGCTCTGTTATGCAACATATTTAATGCAAAAGGGCTGTTCCATATTGTTCTGCAGCCATTGTCCTCTGGACGTGTGGATACCATACTAGTCTTTTCCTTTGTCCATGCATGTCAAAAACACCAAACCCGTTAATTATTTATCCTTGTTTTTTCAAATACAAATCCATATTTCTGACCCAATGTTGTGCTCCAACAAAAAGGTAAACATGTGCCAGTAGCCTTCATTTATAACTCTGAGAGAATTTGAATAACAATACTTTGTTTGTCAAGAGGTAGTATAAAAAGCCCTGAAAACATGGGGAATCTCTCCAACGGAGACCATGGGCAAGGTACGTTCTGTTTTTCCTCTCTGCTCACATTCAGTGTAAGTCACCACAAAGGTTTTCAATTGACTCTCAGTCTGTTTAACGTTGGGCCGATTTCACCTCGTCTGTTTGCCGAAGCATGTCATTCCCACTGGAGCTTTTTTTTTTAATCCTCCCACAGATTATCTTTTACGAGGACAAGAACTTCCAGGGTCGGAGCTATGAGTGCGGCAACGACTGCACGGACCTTCACTCGTACTTCAACCGCTGCAACTCCATCAGGGTGGAGAGCGGCTGCTTCATGATCTATGAGCGACCCAACTTCATGGGCCACCAATACTTCATGAGGAGGGGAGAGTACCCCGACTACCAGAGGTGGATGGGCTTCAGTAGCTGTATCCGCTCGTGCAGGATGATTCCACAGGTAAGAAGACAGGGAAATTCTGCCAGACATTTTTCAGCATTGTTTTTTTGTGCTTTAAAGTCTGGGATCATTTAAAAAGTCAGGTTAGCTTAACAAAGAGTTCTTGCCGTCTGAACGTTTGTGTTCACACTTAAGCTTGATTAGTCATAAGACTTTGCTTTGGTCCCACAGTATCGAGGCTCCTACAGATTGCGCATCTACGAGAAGCCCGACTTCAGCGGTCACATGATGGAGTTCATGGACGACTGTCCCTGTGTGTCCGACCGTTTCCATCACCGCCATGTCTACTCCAGTAATGTTATGAACGGCTTCTGGATCTTCTACGAGTACCCCAACTACCGAGGCCGACAGTACTTCCTGAGACCTGGGGAGTACAGGAGGTACCGCGACTGGTGCGCCACCTGCGCCATCGTCGGCTCCTTCAGGAGGGTCAACGAATTTTAGCCATTGATCGAAAACCTTGCTGTAAATATCAAACACTTTGTTTATTAAAGATGTTGAATTTTTAATCTCCCTTGTGAATGTGTTTTCATTGATTTGTCAAAGTGTAACAGAGCTTCATGAAGATAAGAGGGCTGCCGACACTTTTAACTGTGTAGTTTGCAGATGCTGTACTTACTCTGTGATTACTGTGGGCACTCTTTTTTAATTGTGTTTACTCCTCAACTATAACAAGAGGAGTGAGCTGTCATAACTGTACTGCAGCCGGTCCAAAGCAAATAAACTACCTATTAAAGTGGACAACACTTGTTAAATCTTTTTTTCTGAGACATTTTTTAAAACTCACTTATGTTCACTGTTGTAATTATAAATCGTATCATAATATTATATGCTATTCTAAATCCTTACGTAATTAGCATACATTGCAGTACCACCATACTTTATTGGTAATCAAAAACTATTGATAATTGTAAATCATTTGTCTTGTAAGTCAATAGGTTTTTGGTTAGACGCCTGACATAAGATCTGTGGTAAACACAAGTTTAAGGGAATTTGAAGTTTTGGTCTACTTCATAAATTACATCAGCAATGAATTTTGAAGCTTTGATGTTGC